TCTAAAATAACATAAACTGCCAACTATAAATGAATTGGAGTCGTATTTTTGCGATATTGGGATTTGTTGAACTTGATTGGTTCTTTCGCACTCGAGATTATTTTTAAGCAAGATATCACCGTTTGAAAAATCACAAGGTCTTGGCAAAATACGAACGATTGAAATTTATTTTAAGTGCATGCGGCACTGTCGGTAGTTTCAGAATGGAAAAATGGTACATCGCGCGCATAATTAATTGACTGTGTTTCAATTTTGCAGTTACTGCGATGAATAACCGAAGAAAACCTAACATAACACCAAATTTTGGATTTACAATGTCTCTAAAAGTGTTTTTATTCTGACGTGAGTCTGCTGAAACAAAACTTATAGTGTTATCTCCCATTTTAAGTTTTAGTTCTAATATTTTAGAATGCCGCTTTTTAATCAAGAGATTTGAATTGGGAATTTACCTCTTTATTAACTATTATTTTGAGCATTTCGTCGCCGATGATTATAATATGGTAACATGTTTTTCACATTGAACTCATAATTCCCCACGAGAACGAAAAAGCTATTATTGTCGTCATTGTGGAACAATACATGTATATGCCGAAGGAAATTTTTGATGTAGGGAGAATAAACACCGGTGTAAAGATGTTTTAGGTTTGAAAACACACTATGCTGACGAAAACAATCGGCGATTGTAACAAAATGCAATCGCGCACGTTATTAGCGGCCTTTTTCTCCCAAAAATGTCAAGAGGGGAAAAGATTCGACCCCTAATTTATTAATATGTTTGTCATCTGTCAAGTTTACAGCTTTAGTATATACAATTTATCTTTGAAATTTAAATTTATTTATGACTTGTATTAACCCTATTAAAAAGGTTTGGTATTTAAATTGAGTAAAGTAAGTTTAACTTACTCAGGAATATTAATCGGAAAGTAACAATTTTAACTTTTATTTTGGGGCTCCGTGAATAATAATCAACCTTTTCAAGGGCTCCGCAACACCAAAAGTTTGAGAACCCCTGTGCTAGAAGATGGTGAGTTTTCATTTTTTCTCGCTTTTTTCTCCACAATATTCTATCACGTGGATGTATTAAACGGCGCATTGCAGTCAAGGCTAATGGATGGAGCGTCTGTGCAGTCGTGTATTTCAGACTTCTGCGATGCTGTATCTCGTATCCGGGAAACAATAAAATACGACGACACATGGAGTGCTTCTTTACGCCGCGGGCAAACAACGCAGCGTTTGATTTTGTCTGCAAAGGAATGCTGTGACATTCTGGTGAATCAAATAGGCGATCGTCTGCGCACTGAACACCTTGCCGCGTTCTCTTTGATTAACCCCAAAAATTTTTCAAAATTTGCACGTCAATTTCCCATCCATTTGTTGGCTACTGTCTCCAAATTTTACCCCATGATAAACGTGGGTAAACTGGAAAATGAATTGCGATGTATATACACCAATCAAACTTTTTTGAACATCACATAAACTTGCGCGCTCTATGGGTTCCTCATAGATAACACTCTAGTAATTACCTTTGCGGCGTCTGCAAAATTTCTGGACATCATTTTGACGACGCCTATTTCTTCCGCCGACGCAGAGCGAACATTCAGCACGCTGAAGCGTATTAAAACGTATCTCAGAAACACAATGAAGCAAGATAGATTAAATTCCTTGGCTGTTTTATCCATTCACAGAGACGTTATTTCTGGGATGCATGACTTTAATCAGCGCGTTATTGAGCATTTTGCTTCCAAGAAACCGCGGCGTGTTGCATATATGTTCAAGCAGTAGAAGTCTAGCAGCATATATATCTATGAGTGAGCGACGCATGTCCTTATCTTTGCATTAACTTTCCTTTCTTCATAGTAACGTTTTAAACCTTATTTTAGGTTTTGTCTGCTTTCCCGAAGTTTCAGTTAATATGTCATTGTATTTATCTGGGTAAATATTGCCTTTCCTTTTGAAAGAGGTTTCAAAATAAACTGTCTATATTTATTAATCCCTTGACTTGGACCGGTTTTAAAGACACTTTCTTATCGTTAAAAATTGTCGCTTTTGCCGATTGGTTGTTACCGATGGAATGTTTTTTATACTCATAAAATGATGAGAGAACTTACAGCGCTCATCCTGTCTCCGTAGATGGGGGTGACTTGGTCCCGCAGTAGCTTGCCCCGGTTGTCAAAATGACCACGCGCCGCCACTGCTATACGTACAGCCAACGGCACAATACGAAATACCCATTTTCAACAGCCAAGCAAAACGGAAACGTATCATCCGACTTGCAACTGACAGGAGCGAGCTGGACGTTTTTGTTTTTTACCGTCCAGTAGACAAAGTCACGTGACCCGCAAGTCCTCTATAGGACATTGTATTTTCGATTGGGTATGGCGCATGGCTACAGTATATATGTATATAATTATATTTATGACATAGCAATACGCAGCAGTTCTCTCTTTCTCACTCTCATTGAACTAGTGAAGTGAGTTAGGAATCAGCGATAAATGGCCTGCCTCCATCAACAATTTGTATGATTATCAATGAATAGAAAAAATATTTATGACTGGTGTTTGGTAAACTGTTCAACAAGTACAAAAAAACAAAAAATATCGGTTAAGTAACCGTTGTATACGCGTGATTTGTAGTTGTCCTACATATCTATATCGTATGCCGAAGTTGCAGTTTGATCAGCCTAATTATGTGGGCAACAAATACTTTTAAACTGAAGTCATTCAATTTTTTTTTGCCAAGTAAACAATCAATATCTATAGTAATATTTCATTTTCACAGATGGCTCCGTGATATTCCCAGTAAGGATAAAAACAGTAAATCCCTTCTTCGTTTCCTGCGCTTCGACGCAGCTTCGACGCTTCGACTGCGCCAAACGTAAAAACGTAAAGTGCCATAAACAAATAATTTTTATTATAAAGTTTTATAAGAAGCATTAATTTTTCTTTTTTTCAGATTTAGCCAAATATTGTCTTGTTTGTCGTACAGCTTAGCAAAGCTAAGTCTGATTAGGTGTTCCACTTTTGATCACATGAATAGAAGTTGATTTTCTGTAAAACGATTTACAGACTTGAAGGCGTCGTATTTTTGCGAGAAACCCAATTAGGAATTTAGCTATTCTGACAATGTCCAAGAATTACTGCTACTAGTCCAGGACTAAGTGATAGTTAACTATTTATTCGTTTCAGACTCAAAGACTCCTTTTAACTTTATTTGGTAAATTATTTCCGGACAACAAAAAAGTTTAAAAGATAAAACATTTTCCGATTCATTATAAAACAATAAAAAAAAATGAAATAGAAACTCATTACGATAAAAAAGGTTTTAAAAATAATTTAGTCTTCTCAAATTTTGTTTTATGATAACTTTGATTTCAAGTTTTCTATTTGGTGAGAAATAACTTAATAAACTTATAAACTTAAAAATCCCACAATACTTAGAAGTTAATGATGCCGTGTATTCCCAGAATAATATTTAAATTTTCTTCTGAAAAATAACAGTAGGGCCTATTTTCGGGGGATGTCTTTTATTTTCATTCATCAAAAACAAATTTACAAAGTAGAGAAATACGAGATTTTCAGATATACAAAATATGGAAACCGATATTCAGTTAATTATAAATAACGCGTTTTATTTAAAAAAAAAAATTTGCTCTATCGACTAGGTCCTATTTTAAGGGAAGGGCTTATATTAAAATTATTTTTAAAATTTAGGCTAGATCTTTCGAGGAAACACGGTACTAAGACATCATCTATGAAGTATCAATTTTTATTTAATTTCTTGTACATGGGTACATGGAAATGCAATGGATGTAAACAAACCAAATCGCAAACAATATGATAACCGACTATTTATTTATCAATCACTCAGGAACAGATTACATTAAAATAATAAACTTAAGCTTCCTTGAACACACCTAAGAAAAACAATAAAAATATTATGTTCTGTTCTACATAAATTCATACAAAATAAAGCTTGAAAGATGGCGCTCATTTGTGTAAGTGTACATGATTTCTATCACATCGTGTGTATACAAATCAGTAAATTTATTTTACCTTTTTATGTCGTTTACTTTCCGTAATAATTCAGCGCCGCGTGGACAAAAAGTTTGGATTATAAAATTCAAACTTCTTAATATAATTTAAAAATTGTTTTACTTAACATTGTGCTTTCGTAACAGAATATTTATTGAAGGTTCGCCTATGTCGAAGTTTTTCGTATCAAAATTGATTTTCTCGAAACTGGAATCGGAGTTTATTATAACCCCTGAACAGAATCAGAATTTTCTCCGAATTTGGAGGCAAATTCGGGCGAATATTTAGTGAGCAAGAAATATTTTGGAGAAAAATCTTTTTTTTCCGGTGAAAACCTATACCAAACGAAATGTAGTTTTACCAAAATATCTACACAAACAAAGAATGACTGTCGGCTTACGTGAATAAGTGAACACGATTGGAACAATGGATAAGTGAGGATATGGAACACCTCGTGCTTCACGCAAACTCTATCATAGTGCCATTTTAAAAATAGGCATAACCAACCAAGAGCGTAGCCAGTCAAAAGTTTTGAAGGGGGCTAAATATATTTTTTTTTTTTATGACGACGTAATACGACTCTCACTTGTGCCTTTTGCTTCCTACAAGGCTAGGTAGAAGCAGCAACTGATATTTAACAATATCTTGACGTTGTATACTTGACAACGACTTACCTCGCTGACGAAGTTGTCCAAGGTATACAAGCACGCATTTTCATTTATCTCGGTTGGTTCATTTGGTGAAAGGATTATTGATAGTAAGCCAGGAAAAGTCAGTTTTCAGTAAATCGTTCAAGAATAAAGTAAAATGGTGTTGGAAAAAGCGCAGGAATTTATGTCTCACTACAAATGTCTCCTGGCTACTCCTATGTGATCAACAAAGTAGTATGCAAGTAGTAGTTATCAAAAACCCGTGGGTCCATAGAGAGAGTTTTGATTAGAGCTAGATATGTGGACAAAGTTACATCCAACTGCGAATAATTTCTTGCTTTCTTCAGTTTAATAATCAGCCAATGTTCAAAGTTATATTTCATTTTCACAGATGGCTCCGTGATAACTCCAGTTTGGACTAAAATTATAAATCCCTTGCTCGAATTCTGGATCTCGATCGACCAGAAGCACAACATTTGTGCTTGATGCCATGGAAGACAAATGACCAGGGTACCAAACTTTGCTCGGCAGAGATACATCTGTGCCATTGGTTAAATACAAGTTATCGTTCTGTAAAAGTAAAATATATATTCTCAAAAAATATAGCTTTAAAAAGATAGTTAAAACAGTTCGGTGCAAATGAAATGCGGTGAACATGTCCGTCATATTTTGCTGATGATACCATATGATGATAAATAACCAGACTTGACAGCAGTTAGACTTGTATTATAACGATTCACCTCATAAGTCATTCCCGTACGAACCCACATGTTTCTCCGCCCACCAGGAATCATTGTGCGTAAATAATTCTTCAGCTTGTTGAGGTGTGTAATGTCATAAATATTAGCCAGCTTGTTTTTGCAAAGAGATTCAGCGACGCCCAATGTGACGTTCCGCTTGTCATATACGATGGCTCGGAAACATTTCGACTTGTAAACGACGCCGCAGTTCTCTGAAAACGAAAATTACAATAAACAGAATTAGTAATCCGGAGAAAATTATCAGAAAGCTTTTTATTTTATTTTTTAGATCTTCACTCCGAACAAAGCTCTTTACAAGTATCCTCCGCCATGTTTTTTAAACAACAAATTAGTAATTATCCCGTTATATAATTGGGTTTAGGGTTAAGAATTATTTGACTTCTCTGCTTTCTTAACCCTGACCCAAACACTAACTCGATAAGCCTCATTGGTTACTCGAGAGTTCGCTTCCCCAGTAAAAAAGTATGTATATCATTTCCTCGTAATTAGTATTCAATCGTTGTTAATTTTACTGGTTGGAAAAAATAAACTTGATAATTTCTATTTTTCTTATTTTGAGCGTTAGCGGAAATGATATTTGTACAAATAAACAAAAAAATCTAGTAAGCTGTCTTCTTATTCATGATTGCTTAAAAAAATCTTGTTCTAACCTGTGTTCGCAGACATAGTTGACTGCTGGAACGATTGAGGGGAAGCAATGGAAGTGATCGATCGAGTTGTGAACACGTTTTCAAGCAGAGTTATTGTGATGACGTCATGAACTTCTTTGGTACGGCTTGTTGCAGATGACGTAACGGCTTTAGTAATGTCATTACCTTCAGTGGTGGTGACGAAAGTGGTGTCAGCCAGCCTATTTGGAGTTGTTGTGTCGAACTTGCTGACTTGGGTTGAATGAACCTCGTTGCCATGGTAAACTTTGGTTGTTATGGTAACTTCATCAATTTGCTTATCCAGTAACGCGTTTTCCAGCGTTTTAGCCAATTTCTCAGTCAATTCTGCGCAAAATAAAACAGTATTTTTTAGTTTCTTCTCTTATGTTGATTATATCGATTGATAACTTATTGACTCCAACTCCAGCTTTCAAATTCGGGCTTTAAAAACAAAATCTTAACTCTGGACTCCTTGGATTAGGTTTTCTCAATCATATAGTGCTGGGGCCACATTCGCATGAGGAAATTTGGTACTCCCGTAGTATGTGTACCAGGTTAGGCCATAATTCTATTCCGATTGTCTTTATTTTGGTTCTATTACGATTTCGCCAACTGTCTTTGTTAGCTAAGTGAATATAACCCCTGCCCATAGGTTTCAGTCCCTTTACACGACTTGATGTAAAGTGGGCAAAATTAGTGGCACTCCCGAAGTATGTGCACCAAGATGGCGCACAACTGGACCCTAACCTGGAACACATACTCTGTTCAGGTTGTGCGCCAAAATTAGTTACCTCCATATTGGTACACATACTTCTGGAGCGCGGGAAATTTATTGCGGTCGTAAAAGTTTTTACTAAACTAAAATACCAATCGAGTTCTGATTCCGGAAAAAATTTACGTAAAACATAAAAAAGCTTCCTTTTTACTATAAATCAATCAAATAAAAAATTACACTCAATAAGTTGATTCGAATGTCGAACCTAATACTTACTATTTAAACAAGAGAATTACGTCACTATACTGGACGCGCCCAGTCGTGTCTTGGGCGCAAAATAATGAAGATAAAAGCTCCCGCGTTTACAAGTTATGTTTTATTTAAATATCGAATATCAAGAAAGATTCGAATCCTTAAACCCATAAATTTGCCACAAAGTTGACCTTAACTAAATTCATGTTATTAAATGAAATAGCGTGAAAAGTTAACCCAAATCTCACCATGCTCATTCTTTGCCTGAAAAATAAAACAATATAGTTGACTCAGTTACAAAAGAGTTAATAATCATCAAAACAAGCATAATATGATCTACAATTACTCACCGTGATCGTTTCCTCATGACGATATGACGTCATCACAGCACTGCCTCTGAATTCCACTTTCACAGTGATATCGACTGAGAAAAAATTTTGGAGTTATTTATTTATTGGGGAAAACAAACTAAATTTTTACATTGCATAATTGGCGCTGTAACAACGATGTGCAGTGGTTTTCATACTTTTTAAGCATTTGGAATGGAATTTGTCAGGTCGTCTCGCGCCCCATCTTAAAAATTACTAGCTAACAATAAGCTACAAGTAACAGATAGTAAAGCAAATGAATTTTTTGTTCAAAAAACACGTGGATGGAATGTAAATAATGGAAGAAATGTAAAGATCTGGCAAGATCATAACTAACAAATAATTTTTTTTTTTATTAGCTTCACGCCCAATCGAAAAATTGTCTACGCCACCCTTGTGGGGCAAGTCCCACCGTTTAAGAACCACTGGTGGTCTGGTTGGGTAGGAAATGGTTTTTGCATTGCCTTGCTCAGGTTGTAAATAAGTATCATAAAGGAAAGAACAAAGAACTCAGTTTGTGCAATACTAGAAGAATAATTGATACAAAAACTTGCATTGTATTGACAAATTGACAAAATCCTAAACACCTGTCTCCGAATATAAAATAAAAAAATAGGACTCCGAATCCGTGAAAATTTAAAACAAGATTCCGAATCCGGAGATTTTAAAAATACGACTCTGATTCCCGAAATCTCAAAACTAGGACTCCGACTCCGAAGCATTCAAAAATGCGTCTCCGACTCCGGAGATTTCGAGAATACGACTCCGACTCCGGAGATTTTGAAAATACGACTCTGACTCCGGCAATTAAAAATATAAACTCCGACTCAGGAGATATTAAAAATATCCTACCCAACCGACGTCCAGTCATATTTCTTAAGCATTCTGGGGAATAAATTATCAATATTAAAACTCAATCACCTGTCGTGACGAATCCGATGCACATGAACAACAGCTTGAAAGCTTCCATTGCAGATTAATTTTATTCCGAGCACAAAATCCTCCCCAGTGGCCGCATGCAATTGTACTACCAATACTATTTCTACTCTTAGTTGAGCACTTTATATGAGCAAACATAAATTTATACCCAGATGAACTCCATAACATTGCATCCTAAATGAAAACCTGATTGAAAATAACAAACGAAGTCCTGGTGACGCTTTCTAAATCTACACTGCGAAAAAGTTTGTATTTTTCAATGTCATTTACGTATAATTCTCTAGCGTGGATTGTCGTCATAAAGCTCGTTTATTATTGAATCATATATGACCAAGCACCATTCTATCCGAGTTTGTGTGGGTACTTTATTCCGTCATATGTGTATGATTGTATGGCATCATATGCCATTAAAACGCTCCCGCATGTGGATTGCAACCGTTGATCGAACATTAATATTTCAACATGTGAAATAACAATATACATGCAATATATATCGGGGCTTCCCAAACTGGGGGTCGAAACCTCGCAACGAATTTTAGGTGTCGCAAAGAGTACAACAATGCCACACAAAGCACTATATCGATTGTACTTTTTTAGACTTTTTTTTCGAAATTAATTATTAAATTATAGAATTATAATTATTAAAACTAGCGCAAACATAAATCTCACAATTTCGAGCGAATACATAGAATTCAAGGAGCTGCGCGCTTGCATAACAATGCTGACTTTGATTGTAAGACTCGACCATCAGCGCGATACTGGGAACAGGGGTTGCGAAATTTTTTTATTTCGAAGGGGTCACGGACTCGCGACCCTAAAAGTTTGGTAAGCCTGATATATATCATAGGCGTAGTTAAAATGCGGTTAGTTCAGAGTTTTGCCCGAACTTTCGTGGAATGTCGCGATTATCAGTGAAATAGTTTTTTTTCTACAACCATAAGTTTGGCGTGGTATTCTGGAATTATGGACCCTGTTGTTAGTGACTTCGATGCGAAAAGGAACCTGTTCTTGAGATTTTATATCCCATCACTAGCTCAAACCCTAGTATTTTGGCGTGACAGGTTAAAATTATGGGGTCCATGGTTTATTTGTGGAGTACACAATGTGATATCATTCTCAAATCAGGCAAAGGAAAAGCCAAATGGACTTGAACAATCTAGTCCAGTGCTTCTCAACCGCGACCCACTGGCATTTTTTTCTGTGCGACCCACAATGAGATGTTAATATATGAGATAGGAAACAATGTATCTCCATGCAATTTACTATCAATGAGAAACTTGAGCTTGCATATTGGATGTTATCAAATAATGTCTAAGTTGGCAAATAGAAATTTCCGACCCCCTTCCCAGTTTGAAATTTTTTGACTACGCCCCTTTTTGGAATTTTCTCCGTCGTAGGGTGGTTCACATAAGGCTATCTTCACCGGCTAAGTAATTCGAAAATATTGTTATTAACATTTTTTGGGACGTCTAAACCCAGAAGACGACAATCACTCGTGTCCATCACCGGCAGCAATTCAAATGTCCCATCAAGTTGAAAATTATAGATCTCAAAATTCAATTTATTTGATATTCAACATTTAATACTTGCTGAATAAAAAATCTTTCAAAATTTTCTCAAATAGAACAGAGTGATCTATAAGAATTGAATAAAAATAGATAAACCAAAGTAGGGTGGCTCAATGATAAACTTCAGTCATTTTATACCAGGGGTCCAACAAGCGGTCCGCGGGCTACAACCCGGTCCGCCAAGCCATTTAGTATGGCCCCTGTCAACACTCTGATTTTTCCTCATCAATCATAAATTTTAATCCGACAGTTTATGTTTAAAAAAGCGCCCACATGGGTGAAAATACATATTGTTTTTTCGCTATTGTCGCTATACGTTAAATCTTTCGCCGGTTCCTTTATTATTGTAAGGCTAAGCGATAGCCACATTATCTTCTCTTGCCTTTCTCGTGGCGCTTTGGTTGTCGCTAATTCATTAATTAGTTCGGTACATGGTAAAACTAATTTTTTTTGTGGCCCAGCTAGATGTCCGACAAAAAATATTGCCCACCTCTGTTTCAAAACCTTCTCAAACAAAAAAAAAATGTAAAAAGACGCATAAACATACAATTTTAAAAAATAGGTTTTTTAAGAAGCGTATATTGCATTTATAGAATCAATTAAATATTGTCTTGTTTGTAATTCAGCTTAGCAAAGCTAAGCTTGATTAGGTATTCTTACTTTTGATCACATTTAAGAGTTAATTTTCTGTGAAACGATTTAATGACTTGAAGGCGTGGTATTTTTACGAGAAGTACAATTTGGAATTTAGCCATTCCGACAATATCCGAAGACTCCGGATACTAGTCAAGGTAGAACTAAGTGATAGTTAACTATTTCATCGTTTCAGACTCGAGAAATACCTTTAAGACAGGTTTATTTAATGGGTGTTTCTACTGACCTGCCCAAAAATTTTCAGATGTTGTACCATATCCACTAACGTAATCTGAGAATGAGCGATCTGCATGCGATACCATGCTCGAAGCATCTTTGAAAATCATGAGAACCTAAAAACAACGGACCAATTTTAAACCTACTGATGGCTCCACGGTTAAGACGTTAGACATTGCTGTTTGGCATTGAAGATTAAACCTGGAATTCAAACCCCATTCAAGCCACAGTCACCCCTTTCAAACCCAATCATGTAGGGTTCATATTTAGGGTTCAAATCCCATTCAAGCCTCAGTCACCTCTTCTAAACCCAATCATATGGTGTTCATATTTAGGGTTCAAATCTCAAGCAAACCGTAGTCACTCCTTCTAAACCAGGGGTCTCCAACTAAAAACATGTCGCGGGCCACTTTTTGAAATTTACTGACCACGCGGGCCGCAAACCAAGAAATTAGATACAAAAATTGGTATCTGAATGTATTGTGTTGAAATTACACTTGATTCTTACAGCAAACGAGACATGAAACATATTCATTTACTTGTGCTGGATATTTGGTTTCGATGTTTGGCCCTATTTTGCGTTGGTTTGCTAGTCTTAAGACAGCGTGCAAATGCTCGTCCGTTGGTTATGTGCGGAGGGCTTACTTTCATAGTTGCAAAAAAATGCTCTTCTCGGGCACAACGGATTGACCGAAACTTGTTTATTTCGTCATAATGAACATGCGGAATGAAATTATTGTATTTATAAATGAATTATAACATTAACAATAGAATAAAACATGAAGGTGGTGACGTGGAATAATAGGGGGAAATTTTTGCTTCACTCTCCACAGTTTGTCGAAGCGGACTCTGGATTATAAATGACACTATAAAACCCACAAATAGTTGACGCCGTACTATTTTAGTTTTTTGTGGAGAAATCCCCCATGGGCCGCAAAAAAATGCCTGACGGGCCGCATGGGGCCCGCGCGCCGCGTGTTGGAGACCCCTGTTCTAAACCTAACCACCCATTCATGTCATATTCACCCTAATCAAGGCATAGTCAGCCCATTCAAACCCAAATTTCCCTCACGTCATAATCACTTTTCAGCCCTACATAACTTCGCCACTAGGGGTGGGCATTGCAAACCAAATATTTGAATAGAACAGTAAATATTTCGAATCCGATCAGACAAATATTTTAAATCGTTTTTTTATGTACACCAAAGGCCGAGGTGAATTTTTAATTGAAGCCATATTTTTACAATGCAACTCTGACATTTGACTCTTTCTTCCTAGTGAGTTAATTAAAAAGATGTTGCTTATTGTGTATGGCTACACAGCGGAATATCTGAGTGATAGATGTAATGCTTTTAGCAATTCAAGTGTCTGGAGGACCCATCAAATTAAAAAGATCAAAATTACTAAGATGGCGCACAACCTGAACACAATATGTGTACCAACCAGGTTAGGGTTCAGGTTGTGCGCCATCTTGGTGCACATAATACCGGAGCGCCTAAAAAATATTCGATTCGATTCTGAAATCATCATTCAAGTCAAGTTTATTTTTTCCAACCAGTAAATAAAAAAACAATTGAACGACGATAAAACAGAGAAAAGTACACAGTTTTACTGGGGAAGGGAAGTCGCGGGGAATCAAGGCTGGTTATCGAGCAGCAAGACACACAAAAAAATATATATTAAGTAATATTTCATAGCCATAGTGGCATCTGTAGCTTATTTGGTATTCTTTTTGTTGCTCTTTCCCTTTTCATATAAATTTGTCGAATTTAGTAAATATTTAATATTGAATTGTTCGGTTGCTATATTTGCTGCTTCAATGCAGCTACAAGGTGTCGCTGACTGGATGACTCTTTGAGTCGCGACTCCTCGTCTACTGCAACAAGCCAATATTCGTTTTTGTAATTTGATATTTGCATTTTATTTATTTCATATCGTATATTGGGTTTGCTTGACGAAAATAAATATCTGAATCTGAGGATCCCAAATAGCCCATCCCTGCTCTAGATGGTTTTAACAACCGAACTTACCATCCAGCCAAGGTTTTCTTCACTACACATTGCTTTGTCCAATTTTCTTCCCAGATTCATATCGTACCATGCGCCATATGTTCCTCTACTGCGACCATTATGATATCGGATTTCTTCACAAGATTCGGGGACATCGTATTCCAAGAGATCTGAAAATATTAATTGTATTTTATTTTGAAACCACAAGCATGTCTTGGCATTGTAGATTACACCTATCGCTTTAAGCCCATGTTTCCGAAAACTGTCTAACTAATCCCATATCCGAAAGCAGTGGTGGAATTCAGCCGGTTTGCACCGGTTCTATAGAACCGTCTCACGGATTTTTTTGAGATCAGCGAACCGGTTAGAATTACCGGTTATCGTCAATGACTTTTTGTAACAGAACCGGCTGAAAAAATATGACTTTTGTGATGGAACCGGCTGACAAAAAATTTGATCACCACCCTCTCGAAAGGAACTGATAACTGGATGAGATGCTATGGTTCGTTATATGATTAAGCAATTTTATCAACTTTTCTCTCCCACGGGGTAAATATGTAAATCCTATCCTAAATCCTATGCCTGTCACCTCACCCGGGGTGGAATAAAATATGTGGACGATGTTAAGTCAGAAAAATTAGGAGTCGCGAAAAATATGAGCTTGTACTTGACTTTAGATATCAATAGTTACTTGTATGAAGGGTTATATTACCCTTTATGCAAAATAAGCACTTGTTAAGGGTACCAAGAAAAGAAGGGTGGGTTTTGAAAACTGAAACTCGCTTACCGCATTCAATTTTAAATAACACTAGTTGCTCTATTATTTATATATAGGGCACCTAAGTCTTAAGTGCCTCGGCCTTGCTTGTACGGGCCTGTTTAGGAGCAGCTGGCTTTTCCTTACGAAATAAATCTAAAAATCCCATTTTATTATCTACAAGGGTGATATCTGTATTCACTTCATGTACGGACTTTCGATGCTGTTCCATGGTTACTCGCATGGCTATCTCGTTAATTGTTTCTCTTTGTATCGGGCGTCTTTTGGATATCCATGTTGCCTTCTAACGTACTTTGACATAAATTTTTGTTCATAATCGTTGTTTGATATATGCTATCATCTTTTGGGGCTCCCGAAGTATGCAAACCAAGATGGCGGACATCGGAATGTAATATGTGTACTAGGTTAGGGTTAGGCCATAATTTTAGGTATAAATACTACGGGAGGATCTTGTCTAGTCTTCGAACTGATAATAGGACTAAAATAAGGAAAATTGGAAAAGAATTATGGCCTAACCCTAACCTGTTACCCATGTTACGTTCCGATGTCCGCCATCTTGGTTCGCATACTTCGGGAGCACCCACCTTTTAATGTTAGACTTAATTACAGATGTCTCTTTTCGATAACCAGTAATGGTGTCTTGCACCACCCTTAACTCCGATGGATCATTTTACCAAGTGTATTTTACTAAGTGTATTTGAGTATGGTGGAAATATAAACTACTGATTAATGAAAGTCGTGAATAAGTAACATACAAAATAAAATAGGAACAATGCTCGTCAAAACTATCGTTTTTCCTCGGAAATAAGACTCGGACTTAATTCAAATTTTTTCCGATAAATCACACTAGGGCTTAATTCAGCAGAATGTCTTTTATTTTCATTTATAGAAAACAAATTAGAGATTTACCAAATTCTGAAACAAACTAACCAGAAATGGTGTTCCCGACTGATCGAGGTAAACCTGAAATTAGGATATGAATATTAAAAACTTCAAATTAAAAATTACTAGTCTTTGATATGGCCGCAGATTACAGGCAATTCACTAGAAAAAATGTTTCGCTTACTTATTAAGTTAAAGCGATCATGGTTATGCCTTTTACGTCTCGGAGGTTTTCACCTTTTACGACGGGGCAGAACACAGATGAAACATTTTAGGGGTTGGAGGAACCCCTGTGCTATTGTTTATTAACTCTCATTGTCTGAATTGTATAAACTATAAATATATTTGAAAGCAAACTTATTACAAACAACAAAAATGATATTTGAAATGTAGCAAGTTTAAAAATCACGTAACCGCTAGTCGGTTACGGCTTCATCGACCATCAAGTCCATGCTTCCGAAAACAATAACTAACTAATCTCATACCCAAAATTTAAGGGTAACCGGACGAGAGGCCGTGGTTCGCCATTTAAGCCGTTTTATCGGCTTTCCTCTTCCCGGGATAAATATGTGAATGCTATCCTATTCTTCAAGCATTAGTCACCCCTTCAAGTCGTGGTCATTCCTTCAAGCCTCAGTTACCTATTCAAGCCTTAGTAACCTCTTTAAGCATTAGTCACCTCTCCAAGTCTTAGTCACTCCTTCAAGCCTTAGTTACTTATTTGAGCCTTGGTCAAACATTCGAGCTTCAGTCACCCTTCAAGCCTCAGTCACCCTTCAAGCCTCATTCCAGCCTTAGTAAACTCTTCAAGCATTAGTCACCTTTTCAAGCCTCAGTCACCCATTTAAGCCTTAGTCATCTCTCCAAGTCTTACTTACTTATTTAGGCCTTATTTACCCTTCAAGCCTCAGTCACCTCTTCAAGCATTAGTCACCCTTTCAAGTCTTAGTCACCCATCCAAGCTTCAGTCACTCATTCAAGCCTTAGTAACGTCTTCAAGTCTTAGTCACCCATTTTAGCCTTAGTCACCTCTCCAAATCTTAGTTACTTATTTAAGCCTTATTTACCCTTCAAGCCTCAATCACCTCTTCAAGCATTGGTCACCCTTTCAAATCTTAGTCACCCATTCAAGCCTCAGTCACTCATTCAAGCCTTAGTAACCTCTTCAAGCATTAGTCACCCTTTCAAGTCTTAGTCACCCTTCCGAGCCTCAGTCACTCATTCAAGCCTTAGTAACCTCTTCAAGCATTAGTCACCTTTTCAAGTCTTAGTCACCCTTCCGAGCCTCAGTCACTCCTTTAAGCCTTAGTCACCTCTTCAAGCCTTAGTCACCTCTCCAAGTCTTAGTTATTTATTTAAGCATTATTCACCCATCAAGCCGTAGTCACCCCTTCAAGTCTTAGTCATCTCTTCAAGCATTAGTCACTCTTTCAAGTCTTAGCCACTCTTCTAACCCTAAGTCACCCTTTCAAGCCTTAGTTACTTATTTAAGCCTTATTCACACTTCAAGCCACAGTCACCCATTCAAACCTCAGTCACCTCTTCAAGCCTCAGTCACTCATTCAAGCTTTAGTCACTCCTTTAAGCCTTAATCACCTCTTCAAGCCTTAGTCACCTCTCCAAGTCTTAGTTATTTATTTAAGCCTTATTCACCCATCAAGCATTAGTCACCCCTTCAAGCCTTAGTTACCTCTTCAAGCATTATTCACCCTTTCAAGTCTTAGCCACTCTTCTAACCCTTAGTCACCCTTTCAAGCCTTAGTCACTCCTTCAAGCCTCAGTCACCATTCAATCCTTAGTCAGCCTTCATTCCTTAGTCACCCTTTTAAGCCTCAGTCACCCATTCAAGCTTTGGTCACTCCTAAGCCTTAGTCAACTCTTCAAGCCATAGTAACCTCTCCAAGTCTTAGTTACTTATTTAAGCCTTATTCACACTTCAAGCCTCAGTCACTCATTCAAGCTTTGGTCACTCCTAAGCCTTAGTCAACTCTTCAAGCCATAGTAACCTCTCCAAGTCTTAGTTACTTATTTAAGCCTTATTCACACTTCAAGCCTCAGTCACTCATTCAAGCTTTGGTCACTCCTAAGCCTTAGTCAACTCTTCAAGCCATAGTAACCTCTCCAAGTCTTAGTTACTTATTTAAGCCTTATTCACACTTCAAGCCACAGTCACCCATTCAAGCCTCAGTCACACCTTCAAGCCTTAGTTACTTATTTGAGCCTTGGTCAAACATTCGAGCTTCAGTCACCCTTCAAGCCTCAGTCACCCTTCAAGCCTCATTCAAGCCTTAGTAAACTCTTCAAGCATTAGTCACCCTTTCAAGCCTCAGTCACCCATTTAGGCCTTAGTCACCTCTCCAAGTCTTACTTACTTATTTAAGCCTTATTTACCCTTCAAGCCTCAGTCACCTCTTCAAGCATTAGTCACCCTTTCATGTCTTAGTCACCCATTTAAGCCTCAATCACCTCTTCAAGCATTAGTCACGCTTTCAAGTCTTAGTCACCCATTCAAGCCTCAGTCACTCATTCAAGCCTTAGTAACCTCTTCAAGCATTAGTCACCCTTTCAAGTCTTAGTCACCCTTCCGAGCCTCAGTCACTAATTCAAGCTTTAGTCACTCCTTTAAGCCTTAGTCACCTCTTCAAGCCTTAGTCACCTCTCCAAGTCTTAGTTATTTATTTAGGCCTTATTCACCCTTCAAGCCTTAGTCACCTCTTCAAGCATTAGTCACCCTTTCAAGTCTTAGCCACTCTTCTAACCCTAAGTCACCCTTTCAAGCCTTAGTCACTCCTTCAAGCCTCAGTCATTATTCAATCCTTAGTCACCCTTCAATCCTTAGTCACCCTTTCAAGTCTTAGTCATCTCTTCAAGCATTAGTCACCCTTAAAGTCTTAGCCACTCTTCTAACCCTAAGTCACTCTTTCAAGTTTTAGTCACTCCTTCAAGCCTCAGTCACCATTCAATCCTTAGTCACCCTTTAATCCTTAGTCACCCCTTCAAGTCTTAGTCACCCCTTCAAGCCTCAGTCACTCATTTAAGCCTTAGTAACCTCTTCAAGCATTAGTCACCCTTTTAAGCCTCAGTCACCCATTCAAGCTTTGGTCACTCCTAAGCCTTAGTCACTTCTTCAAGCCATAGTAACCTCTCCAAGTCTTAGTTACTTATTTAAGCCTTATTCACACTTCAAGCCACAGTCACCCATTCAAACCTCAGTCACCTCTTCAAGCCTCAGTCACTCATTCAAGTTTTAGTCACTCCTTTAAGCCTTAGTCACCTCTTCAAGCCTTAGTCACCTCTCCAAGTCTTAGTTATTTATTTAAGCCTTATTCACCCATCAAGCCTTAGTCACCCCTTCAAGCCTTAGTTACCTCTTCAAGCATTATTCACCCTTTCAAGTCTTAGCCACTCTTCTAACCCTAAGTACCCTTTCAAGCCTTAGTCACTCCTTCAAGCCTCAGTCACCATTCAATCATTAGTCAGCCTTCAATCCTTAGTCACCCTTTCAAGTCATAGTCATCTCTTCAAGCATTAGTCACCCTTAAAGTCTTAGTCACTCTTCTAACCCTAAGTCACTTTTTCAAGCCTTATTCACACTTCGAGCCACAGTCTCCCATTCAAACCACAGTCACCTCTTCAAGCCTCAGTCACCTCTTCAAGCCTCAGTCACCTCTTCAAGCATTAGTCACTCCTTTAAGCTTTAGTCACCTCTTCAAGCCTTAGTCACCTCCCCAAGTCTTAGTTACTTATTTAGGCCTTATTCACACTTCAATCCTCAGTCACCGATTCAAGCCTCAGTCACCTCTTCAAGCATCAGTCATCTCTTCAAGCATCAGTCACGCTTTTAAGTCTCAGTCACCCCTTCAAGCCTTAGTCACCCTATCAAGCCTTAGTCACCCCTTCAAGCCTTGATCACCCCTTCAAGCCTTGATCACCCCTTCAAGCCTTAGTCACCCCTTCAAGCCTTAGTCATCCATTCAAGCATAAGTCACTCCTTCAAGCCTTAGTCACCCCTTCAAGCCTTAGTCATCCATTCAAGCATAAGTCACTCCCTCAAGCCTTAGTCATCCATTCAAGCATAAGTCACTCCTTCAAGCCTTAGTCACCCCTTCAAGCATTAGTCACCCCTTCAAGTCTTAGTCACTCCTTCAAGCCTTGTCTGTTCATTTTGTGCACTGTAATACGTCACACTGTAACACATCACTTCGTGTTGATTGATCGAGGGAATAAAGTATTATCTTGTGGGCTGCGAGCAGGTGTACTTCGAGTATAGAGGTCTGGGTTAAATTCGCAAGCTGAATCTGTTTTAATCTATCTGTTTGGGAATCGAACAGCACATCATATCACTCCGGAATTTAAGAAATAAGATGAACAGGCGAAGCATATAATAATTTGTAACTTACCAGCGAGAGTTTTGAGCAATGAACTACCATGATCTGTAAATTAAATACGATTTTTAGTATTTGTCTCTTAAAAGAGCATGGTAGACCTATATTGAAAAGCCGAATATCTAACTTTGCTATTATTCTTCTAAGATCTAACAAGGGAATGAAAAACATATGATGTGTACCAGATTTGGATTAGGCCATAATTTTATTCCAATTTTCCTGACTTTTGTTCTTTTAAGAGTTCGGGAACTACCCAAGTGACTCTCGTAGTATTTGTACCTGAAATTATTGCCTAACCTCACTTAGTACACATACTACGTTCAGGTGTCCGCCATCTTTATTCACATACGAAGGGAGTACCAATTTTTCGTCATGGCAACGCTAAAAAAGCAACTGTTAAAAAACGTCAGTCGTGAAATGTTCAAATGACATTTCAACCTAATTCGATATTGTTAAAAGATGTCAGTTGTTATGTTTTAAGTAGCCTTTCATCTAAACTTCTGTTAATTCTGCGGTATTTTTTTAACACCCTGATTCGATTCTGAAATCATCATGTCTCGGAAATTCCACAGAAATAGTCTTAAGGATTATTCTTACCGACTACGTCATTGGTGAATCTTTTGTACTTCGATGCGAAATCTGAAAGAAAAAATACATAGCAATGCTCAGAATCATTGAAACCCAAGTTTGATAAATTGGAAAATTTTCCAAACTTATTAAAATGGTGTGGCAAAAGCCTTATTCAGCCCTTGAAGCCTTGATAACCCCTTGAAGCATTAGTCACCCCTTGAAGCCATAATCACCCCTCGGGGCCTTGTTCATCCTTTCAAGGCTTAGTCACTCCTTCAAGCATCATTTACCCCTAAAAAGCATCATCCCCGCCCCCTATTCGTTTTGTTATTACTTATCGATCTTAAGATCGGTAAGTATATTGATAGGTATTTGTCTGTATGTATGTCTGTCTGTCTGTCTGTGTGTCTGTTAGATGCACGCGATATCTCACGAAAGCGAGATTGAATCTGCTCCAGATTTTGCATGTGTATTCATCTTATCTCGGACCAGAAGCCTATTGATTTTGGGCGAATTATGTCGTATAATTAGCGAGTTATCAATCAATTATTGATATAGTGATCTAGATTTTTGTAAAGCGAGAGAATTTTGAAACCCGCCGAGTGTGTGTGTGCGATGCGCAGTGCGCAAGTTACAAGAGCGGATGAATCAAAACTGCAGTTTCTGTTTTGGGGGATCCCCTAACTATCGATCGATAAGTCTTCGGTTTCCAACCGATATTCTCGTTATTATGTTGTTCTTGTTGGTCATTTTCTTCTTACTGTTTTGGAAAAATCGCTTTTCTCATTAACTACTGTACCAATTGCTTTGAAGTCTTAGACTTTTCAGCGCTTAAAAAGCCATGACTGAAGCTTTAGGGCCTATTGATTGCCAAAAAAATAATTCATGTAAAATGGCACCAGACCGACCGGTTGGGTAGCCTGTTGTTATCGCTAGAAGGCATTTAATTTATTTTAACAATGTATGTGTGCTCTGTGGAATTCGTTTTTTTGGTTTCGATTACGTCATCAAATATGGAGTAAGAGCGAAACGTTTGTATTATTAGTGAAATCATTAAACTAAGCAACAAAATCACATCTGTCGCTCCCTACAACGTATTGGCATGCGGCGGCTGTATCAGTGCTTTATGTATTAGTAACTTAACTTACATTCGTAACGGCTCGTCTCTTTCTTGAAGCACCAAATGGCCTTTGTTATAGTTGTATCGTAGCAACATTTTCTTGCTTCGCATGCATCCAATGTTATCTCTTGTGGTCCACATTCAATACGGTGATCCTTATCAATGTCACTACACGCAGCTAAAAAGGATAGATAAGCGACAAAGTGTTACGCTTAATTGCATTGGCCTTTCACTTTACACATCCCATACTCACCAAAGGTGTAATAATTTGGGTGTCAAAGTATTTCACCGAATTGCACCGCTTGTGGGTATAGCTATAGCATCAAATTGCACATATTTCACAAATTCTCGCACTAAGCAGCCATGTAATGCACTAATTACTATTACACTGTGTTGCCATTGTTTCACAAATTGTTACGTTTTGTACTAGGTTGCACCAAATGCAACCTTCACAATATATACACATGTTAAAAATACAGACATGAAATCGCAATCTCTAAACAGTACAATTTCGAAATGTAAATGTCCAAAATAATGCGGGCAATATCAAATCTTTTGATTAGTTTCACGTCCCTCAAAAAATGCCTACCCCCCCCCCCATTGTGGGGCGCACCCGGCCGTCCGAGAACCACTGCACTAAAATATTTTCAGATTCTTACCTTCGGAAGGAACAATGATCTTTGACTCGGCAACTGTAAAAACGAAAGAAATTGTTGCATTTGGGCTTTGATGGATGAGTGTTGACTTATTCGAGTATTAAATTACGTAGCATTATAGTACAAAACTTGACTTTCAATAGAATGAATGGTGTTATATGTGACGTAACGTGATTACTCAAATGATGAGTAGCGCGACAACTCTCTCGTTTTCACCTTGGCACGGAACGGTAAAATTGAAAAAACTGATCTTGGCATCGAAAGTGTTAAATGAGAAATAACTTTTAAACTTGAAACCCCATAATTTTTAGAAGTTACTGATGCCGTGTTTCCCGAAATTTCAAAAAAATTTTCTTTTGAAATATAACACCAGAGCTAATTTTCGGGGGATGTCTTTTATTTTCATTTATCAAAAACTAAATTACAAAGTATAGAATTACGAAATTTTCAAATATACAAAATATGAAAACCGAATCGGTCATATTTTCGTGGAAACGCGGTACTAAGCCATCATCTGCGAAATATCAAGTTTTATTTAATTTCTTGAAATTACTTGGACATGAAATGAATATTTAAACAAACCAAATCGCAAACAGTTTGTTAACCGACTATTTATCGTTCAAACAGGAAAAAAAATTAGGATGAAATATTAAATTTAAATTTTCTGGAACACATCTAGGTAATATAAAAAAATATTATTTTCGGTATAAATATAACACATAAAATACAGCTCTGCAAAAATGCATACATATTAATAATAGCTCACTTGTAGGCTTGCCGTAAGTCCTAGTTTAGCCGGGCAGTCCCGATTTTAGCAAGTTGTCCCGTCGTCTCGCTTGATAGACAGATATGTCCCGGTTATGCGGTATGAATGTCATAAATCCTTTTTTTTATTTGATATTGATACATTATTTTAACGGATGTAGCCGATTCCCCACTGATTAGAAACTCACTTCACTAGTTCAGATAGAAAAATGAATAGTGGCAGTTGACATTTATTTCTGGCAAAACCCAATAGAGAATATTTTAATAAGATTTATATATAATTTTTATGCCCGTAATCTAACCACAACGGCATGAAAAATGTTAATCTATTACTAAGACTCGGTAAACGAACCAAGGTCGTCTCACCAAATCTGCACTGTCCCGGTTTTTGCTTCAGATATATGGTAAACCTACTCATTTCAACTCATTTGCATAAGTGAACATGATCACATCGTTTCAGCTTATAGACTCGTATATTGGAATTCAGTTGAAAATTATTGTGTGAAGCAAATGAATATGGAAAAGTGGTCACCGATTTATTAGCTTTTCTCTTATCAACATAAATTTTGAAGCTTATCCAAATGTCACGTGTATATATAACCTTTTAACATGCCTCTGTCAGAACCTATTTATTTGTGTTTGAGCCCATGGGGGATCTGGTAGCCAAAAGAGCAAAAAAAAGTTGATTTTCAAAGTGTCAGTTCAACAACAAAGGCATCGGTAAAGTAACCGTTTATACACTTGATTTGTAGTAGTCCTGCAGCCCATCTGTATCGTATGCCAAAGTTGAAGTTTTGATTGACATATGTGGGCAACAATTACTTTTAAATTCAATCATTTTACAGTGTTAATGTTCAGTAAACATTCAAAGTTATAATCCATATTCACATAGGGCTCCGAAATATTGTCGAGAAGAAAGGGCATTAAAAAGCCCTTGCCTCTGGGATTCAGGGGTTATATTGACTCCAACACCAACATTTAGCCTCGATTTATCGGAAGAAGGATAACTTTGGTGCCAAGCTTCCGATGACAAAGAAACAGCTTGACCATTTGTCGCATAAAGCTTACCGTCCTGTAAAAATAAAATCAATATTTTGAAAATATATCAGTATTGAACGTGCAATTGTGAGAATATATGTTGAATGTGGTTGATAGGATATAAACCAAATAATGTGACAAAGAAAAACAAACTTGTTTGGCTTGCAGTATAAAAATTGTTTTTAATCGAGACTTTATTACGATTGTTTTCTGAACAGTCGCACTTTTCTCGTTGGTGAAAATCAAATCGTTTTAATTTGACAGCGGACTCAAATTTGTTATTACCGTTGTTCGTGCCATAAATTGCTCGATATGAATGGGACTTTTTTCCCACTTTAAATTTAAATTTAACCCCAAGATTATATTTATTACAAGTCAAATACGGCAACTATAATCATAAGCAACTCGATTTAGGTCCAACATTGTTACTAGTCACCTTATAAGTCATTCCCGTACAAACTCCTATCCATGATAATCCAGCGGGAATCATTGGTCGTAGATATTTTTTTAGAAGGTTGAGGTGTGTAAAGTCATAAATATTAGCTAGCTTGTTTTTACAAAGAAATTCAGCATTTCCAGCTGAGACAACTGCAGTTGAACGAACTACTCGAAAGCATTTTGACTTGTAAGTCACGTCGCACTTTTCTGAAAACAAAAACTTACATTTAACATAGTTTTAATGAAGTAAGATTTTCATAAGACATTGAAATAAGTCTTTGTACAACCATTCACTGCTACGTACGGTGATGCTATATTTTGGAAGAACCGGAATCATCCCCAGTAAAAATATGTAAATGATAGGATTTACCTGTTTATCCCGGGGGGATGCGATGTCCAAATAGTTATGTGGTATGTGTATGAATAACTCGAATAACTCGAGATTTTGTTTGCATTCACCTCCAAGTTTATGATATTTTAGGTTAGATTGTGGGCATGGATTAAGAACCCAAAATGTATAAACTCCCCACTCCCACTCTTTCCTCTTATTCTGAGTAATTATGAAAAATCTTAGTCTTACCTGTGTTCACAGTCGAAGTCGACTTCTTTAACGATTGAGTGGAAGCAATTGAAGTGATTGATCGAGTTGTGAACACGTTTTCAAGCACAGTTGTTGTTGTGACGTCATGAACTTCTTTGATACTACTTGTTGCAGATGACGTAATTGCTTTAGTGATGTCGTCACTTTTAGTGGTGGTAACGGATGTTGGGCCATCCAACCCATTTGGAGTTGTTGCGTCAAACTTGCCTTCAGTGATGTCAATGCCCTTGGTAGTGGTAGCAATAGTCGTGTCATCCAGTCCATCTGGAGTTGTTGCGTCAAACTTGGCTTTAGTGATGTCATTACCATTAGCAGTGGTAACGAGAGTCGTTTCATTCATTCCATTTAGAGTTGTTGCGTCAAACTTGGCCTCAGTGATGTCATTGCCCTTAGTAGTGGTAGCAAGAGTCGTTTTATCTAGTCCATTTGGAGTTGTTGCATCAAACTTGGCTTCAGTGATGCCATTACGATTAGTAGTGCTAACGAGAGTCGTGTCATCAAGTTCATTTGCAGTTGTTGCGTCAAACTTGGCTTTAGTGATGTCATTACCATTAGCAGTGGTAACGAAAGTCGTGTCATCTAGTTCATTTGCAGTTGTTGCCTCAAACTTGGCTTCGGTGATGTCATTGCCTTTGGCAGTGGTAACGAGAGTCGTTTCATCCAGTCCATTTAGAGTTGTTGCGTCAAACTTGGTGACTTGGGTTGAATAAAACTTGTTGTCATGGTAAACATCGGCTGTTATTGTAACTTCATCAATCTGTTTATCCAGCAACGCGTTTTGCAGCGTTTTAGTCAATTTCTCTCTCAATTCTGCGCAAAACAAAAAATTTTAATATCTACTTTTATATTGGGTATATCGGACTCCGGTTGATAAATTATTGACTCCAACACCAGCTTTCGAATACAGGCAAAAACAAAATCCTCCCCACCTCCACAACTATTCAGTGTTGGGGGCCTTTCACATGAGGAAATTCATTGCGATCATAAAAGGTTTACCAATCAAATTCTGATTTAGGTAAAAATTTACGCAATACATAATAAATAGTTTTATTACTAAAAATCAATCAAATAAAAAATTATCCTTAATGAGTTGATTCCAATGTGGAACCAAGTATTCAAACATTCGAACGACATTTACTATTGAAACATGGAAAGTACGTCACTTTACTATACGCGCCACGTCGTGTCTTGGGCGCGAGTGTGAGGACGAAGGTTTTAGCGTTTACAAGTTGTGTTTTGTTTAAAAAATCCAAAACCAAAAAAGATTTAAAATTCAAAACCCTGTTATTTTCGACGAAGTTGCCTTTTACTCTAAATTTATTTCATAAAAAATAACTTGAAAATTCAACCCACAACTCACCAAGCTCATTCCTTGCCTGGGAAATAAAACAATAAAGCTGATTAAGTTACAAAAGGGTTAATAACATTAAAATAGTCGTGATGTGATCCACAATTACTCACCGTGATCGTTTCCTCATGGCGGTATGACGTCACCACAGCACTGCCTTCGAATTGCACTTTCACGAAAATATCGACTGAGAATGAGAGAAAATATATTTTTAGCTCTAAAAGTGGGTGAAGCGGTATACTTGACTTTTTTGGTATCGCAGATATTCACATCGGGTTCATCGAGGATAAGAAATTTGAAAATAAGACCCCAATTCCGTAGAATTTGAAAATACGATTCTGACTCCGGAGATTTAAATATACGGCTCGGAGAATATGAATATAGGACTCCGAATCCGGAGATACGACTACATATTCGGAGATTTGAATACACGAATCCGACTCCGGAAAATTTGAAATACGACTCCGACTCCGGAAAATTTGAAAATACGAATTTTAAAATACGACTCTGATTTCAGAGAATTTGAAAATAGGATTCCAACTCCGGAGAAATTGAAACTACGACTCCGACTTCGGAGAATTTGAAAATACGACTCCGAACTCCGATTCCGAAAAATTTAAAAATACGAATATGAAAATACGATTCCGACTCCGGAGAAATTGTAAATAAGATTCCGACTCGAGAAAAATATGAAGAATCGATTCCAGATCCAGAGATTTTAAAAATACGACTCCGATCCATAAATATTCATCCGAACCGACGCCCATATTTTTTGAGCTTTCTGGCGAATAAATTATTAATATTAAAACTAAATCACCTGTCGTGACGAATCCAACGCACATGAACAGCAGCTTGAAAGCTTCCATTGCAGACTTGCACAAAATCCTCCCCAGTGGCCGTATGCAATTCTTCTACCAATACTATTTCTACTCTTAGTTGATCACTTTATGTGAGCAAACTTCTGATATAAAATTTCTAACCAGACTAATTCCATAACATTGCGACTTAAATGAAACGCTGATCATAAATATCAAACAAAGTCCTGGTAACGCTTCTAAATCTACACTATCAAAAATGTTGCAATTTTTATTGTTATTTTCATGTAATTGTCTGGCGTGGATTGTCGTCATGAAGCTCGGTTAATAATAAATTATGTGTGGCCAGGCATAATTAAGTTCAACTTTGCGTGCTACTTTATTTCGTCATAGACTTTATTTTGTATGATTGTATGACATCATAGGCCATCAAAACGCTTCCGCATGTAGATTGCAACTGTTGAACACCCATTAATATGAGAATACACGATATAATAACTTCAACATGTGAAATAACAATATACAGGCAATATATATCAGGGCTTCCCAAACTGGGGGTCGAGAACCCGAAAGGTGGCCGCGCAACGAATTTTAGGGGTCACAAAGGGTACACTAATTTCACACAAAGTACTATATCTATTTTACCTTTTTAGACTTTTCATTCAAAACACAATTAATAAAATTAGTGCAAAACATAAATCTCACTATTTCGTGAGAATACATAAGGAATCAGGCGGCTGCATAACAATACCGACTTTGATCGTAAGACCCGATAAGCGGCTCGCTACACGAAACAGGGGGTCGCGAAAAATTCCAATATATATATTTGAATGGGTCGCGAGCCTTAAAGTTTGGGAAGCCCTGATAAATATCATGGGCGTAATTGAAATGCGGTTAGAACCAGTGGTGACATTTAAGGAGCTTGCCCGAACGTTCTTGGAATGTCGCAATAATTAGCAATTCTTGTTTTCAGAGCTTTAATTTTGGCGCGTTTGTTTTTTAAAACCATGGACCCTGTTGTTAGTGAGTTCAATGCAAAAGAGAAATTTTAAATTCCATCAACATCTAAAACTCTGGTATTTTGGCGTGAAAGTCCTCGGGTTCAGGGTATATTTGTAAAGTACACAATCAATGCGATTAGATCCTCAAATAAAACAAAGGAAATGCCAAACCAGATCTAGCCGGGCTGCAACTTAAGTCCCATTTTATATATGGTTCTGATTCAATGGTTCGCAACCAGTGGGCTACGGAAAGATTTTAAGGTGGGCCACAGAACTATTAAAAATTGTTAGTTCTATTTGTATCACTGTCCCTGTTTTGATTGTAGTACCATTGATTGGTAATGAATGATAATTTTTTGCTGCTGAGATTCCAATTATTAAAGGGAAAGTGTCCATTTTAGCAGAACGTTTTTAATTTTTTTTTGTAGTTTTCCCCTTGCTATAAAAAGCTTCTGAACCGCGGGTATTTTTGGACAACTAAAATGGACATAAAAGAAAAAAAGGTTGAGAACCACTGTTCTAATTTGAATGGTTAATAAAGGTTAATATCTTATGCGTATACGTCTTATCGTGGACGTCTGTGGTAAACACAAACGGTTTTGCGTCGTCAGAAATGGTCCGAAGTATAAATAACATCGATTTGAAACTCTCGAGTCAGAAGATGAAAAACTGGTAAGAATCACTTATAACTCAGATGAGAATGACAACAGTTACTTCCCTTGTAATAACTTTGTATTGGCTTAACATGTAATTTTAGTGATCAATTGCATCCTTGGCACGGTAATGTTTTCAAAAATGTGACGTTTCCCCCTTACCATGCATGGTGGTGAGATAGTGAAATTGTAAACAAAGTATACAACGTAAAAGCATTCGTCAATGGCACACATTGCGTTGTTTACGACTTGCTGCGACTATTACAGTCGACAATTATTACATTCGCTGTTTTTCAAAGCTTTTATGCAGTGATAATTAGGATGTGACGTCATCAAATCAACAAGTGAGTGGTTGATTTTGCAAATTCCGTAAATACAATTCTGAATATATCGTTAATATTTTAGCTATGATAATGGTTGTGGTATTGTTTTGTTGGAAAATAACACAAGAAAACGATCAAATTAAAATAAATTACCTATAAATAGTTATTAACCAGATGCAAAATCTCAAGTTCAAGTTTTTTTTACAAATTATTTGGACGAAAGGTCGCATATGTAATATTACATTGGATACTCGCACATGAGCGTCATCTCGCGGAAAGGTACTCTAGCATACGCGTTTAAGAAACCATGAGTGACGTTTTAGGGCCTAATGGTAGACGACAATGAAAAAATTCAAAAGAGACCATACAAAATGACCCCAGTAGACTAGGCTAGATTGGGTTCTAAACTTGAGCAACAATCTGGTCAACTGATTGCTGCAGCCGTCTGGGTATCAAATCTGAACATATAAACCTGAAACAGGGTCAACGGACGAGCTAAGCGCTAAGGACCACGATGTCATTTCAACGGTGATTAACCGTGTACGTTTTTAGGTTTCAATATCGTGGTGATATTCAGTTGCGATAGTAATGCTGGAATCCAAAGCCGTAGCCTTGGGGTTCAGGTTCAGAACCCACCCATTTGAAATGTGAAAAAAGCATTTTTCTCCCTCATACTCTATTTAGCTTCTATGTTCTAACTTGGCAATTAGAAATTTCAGAAGCCACTCCCCCCTCTATTAAATTCTTACTCTCTGCTGGAATCTTTACCGTCGTAGGGTGGGTCATACACCCACAGGCAGAATATTGCTCCCTTTACTGTCCAAATGATGCAAAGATATTGGTATTGAGAGTTTTGAGTCGTCTAAAAAGCCAACAACAGCCTGTAGCCATCATTGACAGTAACTTCATGTCTCCTATCCTATTTTCCCGTCGAATAATATAATGAGAATTATGGAACTCAAAATGAAACTTATATCATATTCAACATTTATTATTTGCTAAATAAAACATAGCAAAATTTTTCAAAACTTTCTCAAATGCAACGAAGTGGTCTATCAGAAAAGAAAAAAAGATGATAAACGAAAGAAGAGTGGCTCAATGATAAACTTCATTCTTTTTAAACCAGGGGTGAACAACTGGCGGCCGTGGGCCGCAACTCGGCTTTCCAAGTCACTTAGTGTGGCCCTTGTCAATACTCGGATTTTTCCGCATTAAGCATAAAATCCTAATCCAACAGTTTATGTTTTAAAAGGCGCTCACGTGGGTACAAAGACATAATAATTTTCACGGTACTCCTGAAGTATGCGCACCAAGATGTCGCATAACCCGAATTCTAAACTGGTACACAACCTGATTTCAGGTTGTGCGCCATCTTAGTGCGCATACCTCAAGAGGTTCATTTTTACTCTTGTAGCTGCGTTCAATCTTCAGCGGTGCAACTTATTAATTCGTTGTTTACATAATAAAACTATTTCTTTTTGGCCCACCTAGATGCCTGAAGTTGTTTAAAAGGCCCACCGGTCAAAAAAATATTGCACACCCTTGTTTAAACCCTTCCCTAACGTAAAAAACGTAAATTGCCATAAACGAACAATTTTCAATGATAGTTTTTATAAAAAGCATAAATTGCATTTTTAGATTTAGTCAGATATTGTATTGTTTGTAGTGCAGCTTAGCAAAGTTAATATTGATTAGGTATTCTTACTTCTGATCACATGTATAACAAATGATTAAAAGACTATAAGGCGTGGTTTTCTCAAGACACCCAATTTAGAATTTAGCTATTCTAACCAATGTCCAGGAATTCCGACTACTAGTCCAGGTAAAACAAAGTGATGTATTTTAGTTTCGAGGATGACTTTAACTCCATATGGTGAGAAAAGAACTGACAAGTCTGATTTCAAAAGTACGGATTAACTATGTTGCAGACCCACCCTCTCAAATGGTTGCCCTGTCCAGATCGATTACGGTGTAGGATACCCTGTTTAAATTAAAAGGTTAACTGATTCAACCTTTTCCGTCACAAGAAAACTCATCGTTCTTACTAGTTTCTTCGCTTGATAAGGTTGTTTCACTTGGCTGAGCATAAAATATTTGAACATGATGGCATTTGGACTCTACCAATTAAAATGACACTATAAATACCACTGGATTGATAAACAGGGGGCCATGAATGCTAAAAGCCTTTAGAAGAAGAACGCGAGCCATAGAAGGTTGAGAATCATTGGTATACCCTCATAAAACCCGCGTTCATCTATCTGCTTTTCGAACCTTTAACGCGAACCGCAATCACGAAAGTTAGCCTTAATTAATCGGTCAACCTCGGCCTCTTATCAAATTACGATTTCAGTATCGGTATCGTAATCACACGATTCAATCATATTCACGAAATCTGGCAAGTCCGATTTCAGGAGTACAGATTAACCATGTTGCAAACCCTGGCCACTCGATTGGGTGTCGTCTCCTTCAGATCGATTTTGATGACGAATAACCAGTTACATTTTCACATTAGATTTATATATTAAACCCGTTCATCCGCTTTCTGGATCTTTATCGCGGACAACAATCACGAAAGTTAATAAGATGGCCTAATCCAGCGGTTCCCAAGCCTTATGTTCGTGCGGCTCCTAATTACCAGGGGAAAAACTCACAACGCACATGCAAAAAAAAATGCTGCTTCTACATGAAACTCAATTTTGTGATCGTGGGCCTGAGAAATTAGGGCAAAATGTCAATTTTTTTCATATACACAACATTCAAAATAAGCAACAATAAAACGTTTATGATAAATACAATATGTAAAATATTAAATCATATTTTTTAAACACAATTCCATTAATTTTTGCATCATTTGGGAACTGCTGGTGTTATTAATTGATAAACCACCAACCGCCGGCCTTTTGTCAAGTCAAGTTACATTTCAGTATTAGGGTAGAATTATCATATTTCTCTTAGGAGAGAGGTAAGGTGGCTTAAATATATTGCTAACCACGCACCCTCTTAGACTTACCAGCCTGATCTACCAGATAATTTGGAGTACTTAGGGAGGATATTTTGTGAAAATTCCTCGCAAGTAATGCAGAAAATTTAAATGTCCAGCGCATTCTTCACTCTAGCTATCTGGATACCTACAAGTTTTCTTAGTTTGAGAATTGGCGGGCTGTTTTTTTTTTGTTTTTGACGGGGGCTTTGCACAAAAGATACCTTAGAGATCAACTACTTGAACTTAATGTAGACAGACATAAAATACCTGACTAGTCCAGTTTAAAACTCAAGATTAACCATATAAAAGACCACGACGTTTTCCTAGGTCAAGTCCAAGTCGAGCATGAAAATAGTGGATCAGTCATTTTTCACCACCCATGAAGTGAATTGCAATGTAACTTGCAATTAATGAGTATCAGATAAACCTGGTAAATTTAGTTTTAAATCTCTCCCGCTATTAATTTTTTCTTTCTTTCTCGTTTCTGTTGCTCAAGTTCCCAAGGGCTATATTCCCTTCTCATCGCGGCCTTTCCAGACCCAGAGTTTTCACTGACTCCGCTCTCATAATCCTCATCTAAGTCGTCAACACCAGTTATCCCGTTTGGGTATGGACGTGGGGGTTCTCTCGGGTATTCCCCTTTATGTCTGAAATTACCTCCTCTTTGTATTGTATTTGGGTAAAGCCTGATACCAATCTCATGATCTCTTTCAAGATTTCTTGGGTCTAGGCTTTGATGACGAAACTGTGATGTCATATTTTGCTGATGACGTCGTGGGTCAATTGTATGATGACGTTTATCACCGCCATACCCGGAACGACGTTGCATATCCAACTGATACTGTCTGGCTTTGCTTGGCATAAATATTCCTTTGTTTTGAAATTCATCCTGACGTAATTGGATGTGACTTGGCATCTCATGACGTACCTCGTGACGTAGTTCTTCTCTTCCACGTTGGTCGTATTGGCGTGATAATGTTGGCGGAAGTTCTGGAGGAGGTGGGACTCCTAGGTTATAAGAAATGTTTACATTAGCAAAGGAAGATCGCCCAGTACTTAGAGCACCGGTTCTCAACCAGTGGGCCATAGCTTACTGCTGGGCCACAGAAATATTTGCAGGTGGGCAACCACAGACATCATTCTCATGTGTCTATTTTGAGCGGGAAAACTCTTGTTATACTTGTTGGTTTTCCCTTGCACGAGATAGTTAATGTGCCGCAGAATTTGTGTGCAACGAAAGTGGGCCACAAAGGATGAAAGTTTAAGAATCACTCATAGAGTATTGAAGGTAAATTAGCTTTGTAGAGTAAAACTCCCGGAACAAACACTATTTCTACCGCGTCACTTGGGATATACACTGGAAATTTTAGAGCAATTAGTGCAGAAGTAATAATTTTTTCATAACAGCAACAACAAGAATTATAACAACAACATCAACAACAACAGCATAATAACAAAACGATCTGTATGTCCATTTCGTGTCTAAAAAATAAATATAGCGTCTTTTATCGATTCCAACCATTTTCAAGCGTTGAAAATTTAATTCCATTGGTCCATTAGTTTAAGAGGAAAGTGATTTATCACAACAGCATTTCAACAAACTATATGTACACTTCGAGTGTAATATTCTTAGCCATGCCACCGATTTCATCCAATAATCGCACTTACCAGGCATTCTGGACTCTCTTTGTCCTGGATATCTTGGCGGGGAGTCTCGCGCTTGGCTTTGGACTAATGGCAGCTCTTTGCGTCTTTCCTGTAATACATTCGATAACATTTAAATTATATTTAAAAAATCTGCACAGCTAAAGGTTATTATAAGACAATGGTCGCCAAACTTTTTGTACTTGCGAGCCAAATCATTTCCGGTAGCGTTCGGGCCGCATTAATTTCCGCCTATGAACACATTGAATTTCAAATTATGGCGCACTTGCACCTTCTAATGCTGTGTTAAAAGCCTGCCACAGTGAGACGTTTATGTGGCTCTTTTGTAATATGGCGCATTGGCGCATCGTCGGGTCGAATTTTGTATATGCAATGAGACGTTTCGTAATGATGTTTAACAATAAATCCCTGAATAATTGCGATGCTGATTTGACATAACAAGTAAACTCCGTTTCCCAGACATTTTTAAATAATAAAAATCATAATTAACTCAACTTTGATTACAACCAACGATGGGACGTTTATAGAGTAAATGACATAAAACTGACACTATATATTACAAAACAAGCGCTGTACAGCAGCACATGTTTCTACATAAGTCCGTGTGGAGGCAATAATAAAGTTAGGATCAATTTTTGTTCGAGGGCCGCAAAAAATTGTTTGCGGAGCGTTTGGCCCACGGGTCGCAGTTTGCTGATCCCTACTCCAGTCGTATCAAATATACATATAGCCATGTTGTTAGCTAAAATGTCGAAGAACGAAGTCGACAAGCGCAGACATCGGTGTGAACTTTACCAGCCTGATCCTGAATCTTGCTGATTATCACTTACTATTTCTTGCATTTCTATTTCCCTTATTTTCCGTTGATCTCCTTCTGCGCTCAAATTTATAACATTCAAATTCATTCTTTCTTCCTCTTCTTTTTTCTTATTCCGTAGTTCAGCTTGCCGTTTCTTCCTTTTCCTGATTCTTCTTTTCCGATAAAACCTAAGAAAATATACGTTCAGTTTTTGATTTGACGTGGAATAACTAATACAAACACCCCTTTCTTTGTAATTTTACTACTGATAGTAGTACCGTATTTTATATTATTTATTATATTATTTTTCTTATTTTAGTTCTATTACGAGTTTGGGGATTAGTCAAGTACTTCCCGTGGTATTTGTACCTGAAATTATGGCCTAACCCTAACAAGAGCACATATTACGTTACGGTGTCTGCCATCTTGGTTCACATACCTCGGTAGCGCCCCCATTTGTGAACCGAATTTAAAGTTCGCTTTATGGTCCGTAGAATATGTTAATTTCTCTAATTTGTTGATGTGGTGACCTGGTACTTTGCGTATTTGACCTGACTATGTATGAGCGATAATGTTATTCCGACTTCATAATCAGAATATTAGACCCTAGGTTTTGACAAAAAGAGTCTATCCTCCAACAGAACAGAAATACCAATAACCGCCATCGGTCGACCGATTAAATTTTACATTGGATAGTAGTTTACCGATATCTTCACACTCACGAACAGAAAACTCAACGCAACACGTTCGTAAACTTATTCCAACCGATACGCAATATTGTGTTTTTTCGCTGTTTACTGGACCGAGGTAACAGCGAGATGTCAATTTCAAGCTGTATAAGGGATTACCGTTTCGATTAGTATTTTTTTTCTGATAAATTCTACTTTGTATAGTGGTTTACCGTTGTTTCCTCATTACCAATCACCTGACTAAAACCAAGGGAACGCCATTGGTTGGCCGATAAATTATACATTGTATAGTGGTTTACCGTTTCACTTTAATACTAATCACCAGGCTAAAACTGAGAAAACGCCATCGGTTGACTGATAAATTCTACATTGTATAGTGGTTTACCGTTTCACTTCAATACTAATCACCAGACTAAAACCAAGGACACGTCATCGGTTGACCGATAAACTCTACATCGCATAGTGGTTTATCGTTTCACTCATCGGTCGACCGATAAATTCTACATTGTTTAGCGACTACCGCTGTTTCTAAGTACTCAGCACCAAAATAGTGAAATTTGTATTATTTGAGACAGGATTATGCAGATTTCAGTATTAGAAAATAACTACAGGAAAGTGCAAAGTTAACGCCTACAAGTCAATTTTGAATACCCGGTTGACCGGATTATTGTATATTGGATAGGGGTTTACCGTCTCAATACTTACCACCAAAATAAAATCAAGGCAGCCAACATCAATAGAAACAATCCACCACAAGCAATTATAATGATGAGATTCGTTGTTGTGAGAACTTCGGGTCTGTGATCAACAAACTTGTTTCCTCGAACTGGGTGAAGCGTTGTATAGAGACTGGAATCTGTGAAAAAGAATAAATAACGGTAATTTCATCCACGTATTTTCAGCTCGTTTTTTACCAAAACATACTTCCAACTTACTATCTGTTATTTGTAGCATTCTGTTGGCTAGTTATTTTTTAGGTGACAAATTCTAAAAAGGGCCCACGGCTCAAAAAGTTTTAGTACCAATGTTTCAGACAATTAGTGACAGTGCACCCAGACTTTTTCTTTATTGTTAGAGAACTGTCTTAAATTTTAACCGTTGGCTTATATTGTGCACTATTGGCTTTGATTTGAATATTAGAAAAATTTGGAGTGTACTCCATCTTATTAAATCTTCTACTAAACTTGAAAGAAAATAATTTGATACTGTCATACAATAGGTATAAATATTGTATTGTTTGATATGCCCATATTACTTTTTGTGGTAGCCCTATTTTCCTTGTTTTCATTGTGACGCATGAAAAGTTTGTTTACGGCTGGTCTTCGTTTCGCTGTTCTAGGAGCAACACGTTGTTTTGATTAAAAGTGAACGCTAATACTTGATTGTTTGTGTGGATGTATGGGAAGTAAGGTGCCTCAGTAATAGTATTTATAGTTGCACAGCGAACTATATCAGATACATTGGTCGGAAGTAAAGAATAACTTCCCAAGTAAAATTCTATACCTAATTCCATTTGGAAATAATATGCTCAACGCAAAATCACGTGCACTCACGCAGAAGAAAAGAACTCTCATCGCCGAAAAAGGTTACGGCGGCCACAAACTTTGTCAAACAAATATTTATTTTTACAAATGATGACCAATTCCACAAGTTAACCTTCAAAACGCTACACGAGCTTTGACTTCTAGGTTGAGATACTGCTCTGAAGTACACGGACGACATTTTGAGCACCTATGAGTGGGATTTTATATATATGCTTTCAACAAACTCTGTAAAAGTTATTCTCTGTAAAAATAAGTAGCTGTTTTAGAAATGTTCTGTTTTTCTAGCGACTACCGTGTATATAAAACTATGGTGGTATATTACGCGCCAATAATTACTTAAAATTTGCGGCAATGTCGGCAATTACCATTCTCATACTCACCATAAGGCTGATTGTCTGCCCCATAAATCACCGGTCCATGGCTTATAGCGACCTCTTCCGGATCATATTCGGGCGGTGTTGTCGATGGTTGAACAAGTTTCTTTGCTCTTATACGGACTGGAGGTCTGAAATATGGTTCATTTAGATGTTGTTGTTATACTTTTTATGGCACTTATAACATTCGTGGTGTTTTGCGCCATTGATCAATGCGAATTAAAAATCCTAAACAATATAATACAATAGTTACAAAAAAAAAAAAAAATAACTCAATTATTGTGTACGGATTGTTTTTAAACAGGTATGTAAGGCTAGTAATTTAAAACCAATTTACCAACTTATCGCCATTGTGTCAATCGCAATTTACTTCTAAATTAACTCAAAAACTCGTGGATTCATGTTCGTCGATTTGCGCATCGTACTAAGCGTTAGGAATACGACGCACCTCTGATTACCCTGCGTTTGTTCGCAGGTAATGGCGTATCTAAGGTGTGGCAGCCATAGCTCGTGTCACGGGCGCCGTTTGAATAGGGGTGCAAAACGTAATCGTGAAATGTTTATATAAAATAATTTCAAACTGAAAATAACTGAAACTCGTATTTTTATTCAAATATAAACAAGTATCTCAATTTAATACCAGTCCAACTTTGCCATTTTACGTGGATACACCACTGTAAACGCATTTTAAATTCCATGAGCAATAATTATGTGCAAGAGGATCTCTGGAATCAACTGGTCACAGCTTTTTTCACTATGAAGTTCATTAACATCCGAAATAAATATACCTCTGACGACAGACTGCGATACGCCATATAATTAATCCGTCTTATTGGTTTTCCCCTTTTTAGGCAAATATGAATATCTTATTCGATATGGTACAGATTCTTACGTGCTTTGAGTTATAATAATCGGCCCGCTGTTTGTAGGTCGAGTTGGTCTTGGTCGAGTTGGTCTCGGGTTAGTCTGACGACCTCTATTCCCTCCGGGTCTGACTTTGAGTGGTCCGCCAGATGGTGCTCGTGGAACTATGTTGATGTCTGCGTCGTTTCCAATCCAACCAAGGTCATCATCACTTCCAACGCTAAAGAAAAAGAGAGAAATGCTCAAATATATGGACACGATAATTGAGAGACTTATATGGCTACTGAAATTCAGCAAAATTGTAAATCTGTGATAATTTGAACATAAAAGTAGTTAACTTCAAGCGAACCCTTACATTTTTGAGTGTCATGAACAAAATTGATTGGTCCATTTGTTATGGAAAATAAACGACTTTTAACAATGACTCCAACAAAATCAATATCGTTTTATTACCAGATTAGATTGAGCATATGATTCGTTATAACCAGTTCGATTGGCAACAACAGACTTTGAACCATATAAGACTTTCTATTAACAGTTTGCGCTAAAATACCACCAACTTACGTGTTAGCCGGGTTGCTTTCAGTGGTAATTGACGGATCTGTAGCAGACGGATTTCTATCTGAATCGTAGACAAGACGACGTGATGCACGTTTGCTTCCTGGGGATGACTGAGAGAAATTGGAAGGTTATTACAATCTTATGAGAGAAGGGAAGGTTTTGTAATACCGACATTTGCATGGAATATGGTAAATTATTTTATTGGGGTTGTAGCGTAGGCTTTGTAATGAAGACTTTGCACCTAAAAGGGGAGTGGTAATTACCCTGACTGAAGCAATTTGGTGAAATATTATCACTTGTTCCAAGGAAAGGCAGATTTTTTAATGAAGAATTTTCACCTTAACAAATAATTATAATGTTGAGGTGATTCAGATTCAGATTTTATTTTCGTCATACAAAACCAATATACGATATGAAAAAATAAAAAAAGGCATATACCAAATTACGAAGACGGATATCGGCTTGTTGCAATAGACGAGGGATCGCGAAAGACTCAAAGAGTCATCCAGTCAGCGACACCTTGTAGATGCATTGAAGCAGCAAATATAGCAACCGAACAACTCAATATTAAATAGTCACTAAATTCGACACAATCATATATATAAACGGGACAACAAAAAGAATGCCTTTAAGCTGCTAATGCCACAATGACCACGAAAAATTACCTAAACATTCACTTAATTAGACTCAATCACAAAAAAGAATTAATTTTAATCGGAAAATTTAAGAAATTCGTGAGATTGTGAATGGCTCGTTTCACTTTTAGTTCAAAGCTCGCGGCCTTGCTTCAAGCAAAGTTGTATGAAGAGATCTATTGACCTATAAAAACCCTAGATGTCAACGATCGGCAACCTGCGGCTCTTTGTTCTCGTAGCTTTGGCTCCCGCGAATAAAAGTGGTTACAACAGTTTTTGTTAGAAGCAGTGGGGATTCAATAAACAGACGAAGGCAAAAAGCTAATTACTTCTCATTAAATACCAATCACAGCGGTTCCCAAAGTATAAATCAAGAGCGATGGAAATGAATCGCCTTAAGGTAATTCGTCAAGGTAAGCTGTCAGACCAACCCTTTTTTATGAGTCCTTTTCATTTTTTCATAGACTGAATTTTTGCACATTCGTATTTCATTTGGCTTCTTCTTAGTAAGAACTAGAATATTGCATCATAAATGGTGGTTTCCTGGGAGTTTTAGTCACTGACATTGGGGTAGATGCTGTGGCTCTGAATCGGTTTGCGTATGATTGAAAGGTTTCCCAAATGGCTCTTTCAATGATAGAAGTTGCCGACCCGTGCTATATGTGATCGTTGGGGCGTTTGTGATTGCTTATAATTTATCCCAATACTCTTTCTATATTAGTTGAGATATAGAAACTTGTTTTTTGTACAATTCGGGAGACGTACCAACATCTTTATAGAAGAATAAACTATTAGATAACGGATATAGATACATACGTACCTTAGGCATGCCGGCACCTGATTTTGACAGAAAGTTTTTCATGTCGACTTTTCCAGGGGCTCCCTCGCCACCACCTTTCCCCATTGAAGGAAATATCTTTGAAGCTGGAAATTGGAAGAGTGTAAGGTAGAGTCCTAAACTCAATTTAACTAGGAGTCACTGGGGGGAGAGTCTGGGTGGGTCTGGACCGCATCAGGTTTTCTAATATAAAAAGCTTAGTTTAAAAAATTTAATTCTTCTCAACTTTCCTCATTTCTTTTTTGAACACAAAACAAGTTGAAAGCATGAATGAACAAATTAAGCCTAAATAATAATAAAATAATTGATGATGTTGCGAATTTATTAGTTACGAGTCAAATGTCTGTAAAAAGTTCTTCTGCAAACTGAGCTAGGTGACTTGCGGGACACACTGACATTAAATTTTTATACTCAGACGGGGCCACGAACCATCGTCCTGCGGGACTTTTTTGAAAGTAAAGTCACTCGCCTTTACTCGGAAGTAAAGGAGACTCAAGTTTGAGCCGAATTATTGAATTGAAGCGAGCTACTGACGCCACTCAGAATTATTACGGTACGCTACACGAGGGAAATCCTATAAATAAATTGCTATATTTTTTTTTATCTGGTTTCTGCGGGGGATCCGTATGCATATATGCAAGATGCTGTAACAAGAGTAAAGATAACTATCCTAGGTGATTCTAGAGTCTTGCTACATAATAACCCAAATATATTTCTGTAACGTTTTCTCTGACCAAGGTCAAACTTCCTCAGACGTACTATGGGGTTGTTTTTATAAGATAAGATAAAAATAAACATATATACACAAAAGATCAAGGCGAAGTATCTGGAAAGTGAACGAAACTTAATAAAATAAGTTTAAAACGTATTAAACGCGTTCACTTACCAAAGAAGAAAGAAAACAAGTCACAAACACCTTCAAATAAACATGAATATTGACGACGGTCATTACTCAGGCGTTTCACTTGGTAATCAGGTTGCGTGCAATTTTTTCCAAAACAAAACAGTGAATTAAATATCCACTGTGTGTGGTGCGACATGTAAACAAACAATCTGAAAAATCCTAGGATGAGGTGCGAATGCATGTTTCCGTTCCATGCTCATTCGTGTTTTTAAGAACGCTAATCGTTTTAGTCATAATTACCGCTTACTGAGTGATGAGAGTTTAAGTTTACCATTTTCAGAAAAGTTTACCACCACATAATCCATTACATCCAGTAGTGGGATTCAGCCAGTTTGCACCGGTTCTATAAAACCGTCTCACGGAATTTTGAGAAATCAGCGAACTGGTCAGCATTAATCAATTTATTTGCTAAAAAAATATGACCTTTTGTAACAGAACCGGATAAAAAATATGACTTTGTGATGGAACCGGTTGACAAAAAATTTGAATCCCACCACTGGTTACATCCGATACATAATCCGTTCAATTCGTAACTCAGCAAATTGTATAGATAGAATAGGAGTTACATCTTTCTCCCGGGAAAAGACGGCTTAATCATATGGCGAACCACGGGCTCTCGTTCTGTTACCAGTTTATGTCGGACTTGATAGCGAAGGAAAAACTGACCGATTACGTGAACCACCCTTCTCGTCCTCTCGCACCTAAATAACCCCGCATGGGATTCTAACCTGCGAACCAACGCAGGGTAATCAGAAGTGCTGTATCGAACGTATTCCTAACGCTTAGCACGAGCCACACCGTCGATATGGTAAGTATTATTCGAATTCGTCTAATTTTTTGATTATATCTACATTTGCGCACTTGTTTTTATAAATGTTCAACATTTACAAAAACACACTGAAACCATTTAACGAGAAATAGAATAAATCAGTGGTTTTCAAACGGTGGGACACACCCGACAGAGGAGGCGTCGACAATTTTTTGAGGGGGCGTGAAGCTGATTCGAAATAAAATATTTATTGGATTTCTCCTATTTACATCTTTTTATTTTTTAGAGATTGCAGCGCGTGTTGTGCCTGTATCTTTTTTATTCTTAGCGTGGAGTCTTACTGTCTGGTATTTGTATTGTTAGCTAATTATTTTTGAGGTGGGGCGCAAGACTTCACAATTTCTGAAAAGGGTACGCGACTTAAAAAAGAACCACTTGAATGGATAGAATTGCATCGTCTACTTACATCTGAATCCGGGAATCTCTTTAACCGCCATGAAACTGATGAGAAACCCTCGCACTTTTGTTACCGCCTTATCAGCTTGTAGATCAATTCGTGCAAATGTACCTGTAACCAAAAAAGAAAGACAAGGTATTCTTCTGCACTAAAAAAGCTTGTAACCAGGAAACAAATAAATTAAAACGAATGAAATGGAAAATCTCTCTACGAACTAACTATAAAAATCCCAACGGTTTACGAAATATTTGATAATAAATGGAAGATATGTGGGTAATATACAGAGAGTCTACAACAAATGAAAAGACATGTCAAAGACAAGAATGTGTGAGAGTGGAGCTGATTCGTAGTCGAAAAATTCGCCTATGAAATTTTGCCGAAGGAATCTCGCCGCATGAAATTTCGCCGCATAGGAAAAATTGCAAGAGCATTTTGGTGTAAAACAATTATTTGTGATCAAACAGTTAAGTTTATAGGGTTAGTGTATACTCTTAAATAACGAATCTTTTTGTTTTAATAAGGCGATTTCTCATACATTGATTTTCCCTATCCGGCCAAATTTCCTACGGCGAGATTTTCTACGCCGAAATTTCCAGCGGCAATTTTTCCTAGAATCGAGCTGATAAACACAAATGTGAGTCAAAGGAAGACTTACCTAGAGTAACATAATCTCCAGGTCGCGATCCACCACAGAACCGTCCTTGCGATTTTCCAGTTGAAACGTCGATGATCTGAAACAGGAATGTAAAATCAGTTATCGCAGAAGACGAAATATCTAAACCTTGTTCGTCATATAAAGTGTACAAACTGACGCATGAAATTATAGCAAACAAAAATGCTTCTGATTTGGTTTCTGCGAAACTAACTACCTATGCTTCTTCTATTCTTTTGTGCCGATGGATTTGTATGCATATAAAGAAAAGATGCTGTAGCGAGATTAACGATGAATATCCTGAGTGGTTCAAGAGTCTTGCTGCACACTAACACAAGTATATTTCTGTAACCCAGCACTTGAAAATGCTTCTATTGATACTTATCTCTGAGACACTGAATTGAAAGTACAAAACACTTAACTAATATCGCAATAAACCAGTAGTACTGATCTACTTGAATGTTGAAGGCGATTGGATTATTTTGTGGACCTGCAACTGGACACGGAATGGACCTATGATTTGGTGCGCTAATTTGTTTTTGTCCATTTTGATGCGGGTATAGAAAAAAACCTTCTTTCAAACTACTAGAACACCAATCGTTTTCAAACCATTCGTAGTAAAAAACTGTCATCCAGAAGGTTATTTAACTTATATTTTTTTTATTTAAATCTTGATTCTATGGGGATTGTTGTTTCGATCAAAATTTGTTGTTTTTATCGACTGCGCCCCGTAACAATGTAGCCTAATTTTTAGAATAATTTTCTTTGTGGTAAATTTCACAGAAATTTAAATCCGCCCATACCAGTTACAAACTGGTTACTTATGTTATCAGTCGTTGCTAGCACATTTGTACCCGTAAACTGCACCTGTATACTTTTGCACCCACTGACAGGTGAAAACATCCATATGTGCAAAGGTTTGTGGGTGCGAATTTACATGGGTACCAATGCCCACGGGTGCAATCTATATGCAGATGCTAAAATCTATGGGTGGGAATGTGTGGGTGCAATTGTCCCGGGTGCAAAGAAAATAGAATGGTTATCAGTCACTTACGCCAGAACGTAATACATAATTCAATAAAATGTGTATCTAAACACATTTGTACGATGACAACACAATCGAGATAGATTCAGAATCGTTGTTCATTTACCTGAACAAACTGCTTAGCGCACGATCCAGTTGCTCCAATCATGTCCAGATCTCTGAATGCAATTTTCACACGCATTCCTATTGGAGCTTCAAGTCTAGGAGTAATGAGTTATTTTAATCAAAAGCTACAACTTACTTTAACGTAATTCACACAATCAAATACATACGAGAAAAACAAAATGCCACATAAATATACGCACGTGCACACATACAATCGCCTACGTTGACATAAAAAACACACATACACACACGCTCGTCCACGCACATACACACATAGAGCAATCACTTGCATCTATGAACATTCCATCTGTGATTTAAAGAGTTCGTAACTGAAGATTATTGATTTTTTCGTCGGGAATGGCACACACAAACAAGGAGCACACGAATTTATGTGATATTGCCTGTTTCCAGTTGAGAACACACACACACGCACATAATCTTTTTGAAAAATCTATGAGCACTCACATTCATAACTACTAATACCGTAACTCAAAGTCAGCACACCTGAGGCTGTCAAAAATTTCCGATAAGACAAAACACACATACAAACACTTACTAACGCGCGCATAAGATAATCTATATGTACTTACATTCGCGAGCATTGTATCTGTGATTTAAAGGAAGGCGCGACATTAGGAACTTACCAGTTGAGAGAACATCCCGATCCACCCACCCCACACATACACACAAATACATTTTGTAAACTGTAAATCGCGCTCTGTGTATATCCACGAACATTAAATATCTGATTAGGAAAAGTAACAACGTTCTGGGTTTAACGACTTTTAGTCGAGATGGCGCAAATGCAAAGGTTTATTTAATGATAGATTATTTATTAAAAGTTAAAAAAACACACTTGCAAACGAACGCAATGAGCAATCTAAAGTATACTTACATCCATGAGCATTGGATCTGTGATTCAAGGAAGTCTGGATATCCAGGACTTTTAAAAACTTTCCAGTTGAGAGTCGCTCTCATGGTCTTTATGCAATGTTTCCCTGTAAGATAGAAAAATTCTTGACTGAAAGTCAAATCGTTAAGTAGTGAGTATGGCTGGGCATTTTGCAATATCTAATGATTTCAGAACCGAATCGAAGGTACTCCTGAAGTATGCGCACCAAGATGTCGCACAACCTGAACCCTAACCTGGTACACAACCTGAGTTCAGGTTGTGCGCCATCTTGGTGCGCATACATCAAGTGGTCCGAATCGAATCTTTTCTTCGAATCGAATCGGATCTCGAATACCCAGTAGATATGTAATTGTAGGTAACTTTTTTTTTTATAAATAATTCCTTAGGAATAAAGAGTCCTATTTCGGGATTGCATATTGAAATTATGACTTCAATAAAAATAAAATTGGGGAATTCACTTCGACCGTCGGCGGATGGAAAAAAAGATGGCGGCAATTCAAAATTTTCTTTTGACCCAATTCGAATAATTCACTATTTAATTCGATTCGAAATGCCTAGCCCTAGTAATTAGAAATGACCGTTTCTTAGTTTTGAATTCTCAGTTACACAACACATCGATTATGAAGTAGAGACTTCTGGAAAGCGCGCAAAAAACTCCCCCCAACATAAAATGAATAATAGCATAGTGCTTAAAAATATAAGCACACAGAGTTTGAATGTCAGAATACCGTTTTGATGAATTAAATTGTGGAGCATATTTTTGTTTATTCCACTGCAAGCCTTTCAGCGGTTTTTTTTATCTATATTACTATTTGCACTCAATTAGTTTAGGGGTCGGCGAACTTTCATCGCTCGCGGGCCAAAATTGAGGATTACAAGACTTGGAGGGCCGCTCAAATTTTTAAAAAGTTAAAAACCGAACAGATGGCTGATGAAACACAAATTTTTCACACAGATCGGAAGTTTAATTCAAGATGATTGCGACAACTCGTGAATTCAACTTAGTCGTCTTGATAAAAGGAAAAAAATTACAATTGTCATTTAATGTGACGCTTTTTGTTGCATCACGTTTGATAGTTTTTCGACATCCGGCGATATGCTGCATAAAGCCAAGAATATATAATATAATGGGCTTCACTTATCCGAGGTCCAAGCTTGTTCTTTGTAATTTTTATTTTCGAAAATAAATTGTACTTCCAAACATCGATGTGAATTTCTTTGCATGGTTTGTCAAATTTGGATAGAGTTTTCCTTCGAGGAGATACTTTTTATAAAAATCAAGCGGTGATACATTTCTCAAATAGAATATGGATTTCATATCCTCGTTGCATTGTATATTTTTTGCGCCACTGAACCCTCTGCATTCAGCATCAACTTTTTTGCGTTGACGTTTGTCTAATCATAATTGCATTGAAGCTCATTAAACGAGTAGCTGTTCACTAAATTTTAAGGTTATGTTATAATTTAGTCTATACGTGTCTTACAAGAAATTCTGTTACGTAAAGAATATAATTGTGAAAACAGCTGTTCTGTTGCTATAATTCAGTGAAGCGTCGCGGGCCGGATCTGGCCCGCGGGCCGTAGGTTGCCGACCCCTGAATTGGTCCATAAGTGACTAAGGAATGACAGGGCAACCCAGACAACAGCAAGAATTAGGCAAACCGATCAATAAGTAAAGCTCACGCAACATTGGTAGTCGCAGTGACGTAATTTTTGGATGACATAGTCAGGTGGGGGTTAGGATTGACATGTGCAAAAATCTTTATGCTACGCCAAATAGAAGTAAGAAACTACAGGAGACTCTAAATTGTATAAAAGCAAAATTTTCAAGACCAGACTACTGTTGCATCACAGTGCACATGTTATGCGTATCGTATCAGTGACCGCATTGTCAAAACAGTGGTTCTAAAATGGTGGGGCGCGCTCCACAAGGGGGCGTAGACAATTTTTGAGGGGACGTGAAGCTGATTAAAAATAAAGAGGTTTGTTAGATTTGATTTTGCCCGCCTTATTTTGGACATTTCTTTATTTTGGATGTTTACTTTCCATCCACGGGAGAACCACTGAACTAGACAATAGTAGAGGGTGAGAAACAAAAAAAAGCTTCTTTCCTACATGTATACGTTAAACTTTGCTTTATTTTGGATGTTTACATTTTTTTTTGGATATTTACATTACACCAACGTATTTTCAACGTGTTGTGTGAATAAAACATACTTTCGCCTTAGTATCTGTTATTTGTAGCTTATTGTTAGCTAGTCATTATTGAGGTGGAGAGAGAGAGACATATTTAAAAAAAAAAGAGGTGGCCTAAAAAGTTTGAGAACCAGTTTGACTTGAGTGAAGATCCTGACGAATAAAATATCTTACATCCTGGTGGTTGTTCTGACGTTTCTCCTGGCTTGAGTCGTAGAGGCGGGGTTATTTTGACTGGTTTCGATTTCCTCTTGTTAGGGCTTCCTTTGATCCCGAGAACGTCTTCAACTGAACGTAAACACTAAGTATTAGGCAAGAATTTTGGAATGTTGAAACGAGTGCTGAATTCAGAATAGAATTTTCCAAAATATTGGATCACGGATAATATTGTATAAAGCATATATAATTTAATATGTATATTAGTTCATTGAAGTTTTGCGTCTGATTCATAGTTTCAAACAAAAGTCTAGATCAGAGTTGAAGTTGATTAGGTATAGACGGTTTGCTCTTGCTCGTCTTACTCAATGAGTGATTCTGGTTTGAAGAGACTCCTAGTCATCAGTTTTTTTTTTTTTAAATTTGATCGAAGGTCACGCATCGAAAAGTGGAAATTTTACTCATTTTTGAGTAAATAATACTGGAAGGTTATAATTATTGCGCGCCACCAATTGCCGATAGAAGTGAAACTCGAAGTATTTTTTGGTTAATACAATCAGAAGTACAGCTATTTAATTTTGTATTTCAATTCACGTGATTTTAATGTCTAACTTAGCTTTCTAGAGACATCTGGTGATCCTATTTTTTGGGAAAATTTGATAAAAGGTGGCGCGCATCTAAGCAGAAGTAAACAAAACTTATCTATGAGAAAGCGACCACCGCAATTTTGGATTGGCATTACGCACCATTGAATGTCAACTGAGGTGATAATTAACGTAGTTCGAATCAAACAATGCAATCAGGACAGTTATGAGATCATACATTCTACACAGCTGAAGTCCCTCACAGCAACTTTGTTATTTCCGTCTACTTACGTGATTTCAATGTGCTTCTCTTTGATCTTCTGATGGAAGCTTCAGTAGTTGACTCAAATAAAATATTTCCCAGAAATAGAATCAAGAAGACGGATCGTAGATTCATTGTATTATTGAGTTTTATTCACAGATGTTGAAATAGATATTTTGACGTTTATTTATGCCATTTAAATTTATTTTTGCCTATGTAATCTAAACTGTGTTAGAAAGTAAAAATATACACAAATTTAAGGAAAATCATTAAAAAATGCACGATGTACAGTATTCGAGGGAAATAGATAAGAACAAGGGATACCCTGGACATTTATAAAGAAGGTCAACTTTGTTGGTATTTTCTCGTTATTCTGAAATTCATCGTTTTTACAAATAGTTTGATCAGGATCCGAAATATTGTTTTAGTGCATTAATGCGTGCTGTTTTGTTGGTCCTTTCCGTTATTCTGATATTCTTTATTTTAGTCATTTTGATCATAGAATTTGAAATAGCCTTCTTATTACATTTATATCAATTTAATCTAATATTAAGATTTTTATCTATTTATACTAACTAAAGGACAGAGAATAATACAAATGGTATGGAAATGTTTAAACAATCTTTTTGCATTCTAGGAAAAGAGTCTACAAATTTAAAAAAATTTTGTAGGCTAAAACCTAGAATAGGTATTATCATATTTACAAAATGAGAAAAATTTTCAACTCCTCAACTGTAGTAAAAGTGTTATTCGTTTTAATACCTCAGACATGGACATGTCAAAATTTCATGTGGATGGGAGAGGCGTTACATAATTAGGCATCGTAAACGTCATTGTTAGTGTGACGCATATTCCCGTTCGGGTGAGAATATTCGCGGTTCAACCGGTAACCAGGTAAAATATACCGGTTGATCGATGCTATAAGACAAGTGAAGAAAACATTGCACTAACACGGAAATAGCTTAAAAGATATTGAATATACTTTCGACCAACAGAAGGTTCTTTCCAGAAGATGCCAAAAAGCTTCGTTTCGATAAACACTCTGTATATATATGCCCTTCTAGTATACAGAATGATATATTTGCACTTCTCCTTCTCCTACAACTCTCATGTACTGGGATTTTTTTTAACAGCAGCAGAGAATATACCCCTTTTTTAAAGCAAGATCTCGATTCTTCAACTAAAAGTGGAGACAGTACTATTGTAAGAAAAGACCATTGACGCGGTAAGAACTATTCAGAAGCTTATCCATGTGATAGAGGTATCGCTAAATAGCAGTTGAAATGCTATTTGAAAACAAGAATCGATTCTCTATTTTGATTATCGTTTTATGAAGTATTGCTTAAAGAAAAACTCTGTATGCAAAATGATGATGATAACCACACATCTTCTTGTCCAACAACTCTCTTGTACTGGGATTTAATTCACCGACCGCCAACTTTGTGTACAAATTTTCTCAAAGCAAGATTTTGGGACCTCTACTAAAAATAAAAGGGTTCTGCAATGAACAGGTTCACCATATTTCCCGGTTTACATGGGACAGTCCCGATTTTGACAAGCTGTCCCGGTGTGCCGCCCGGTATACTTATATTGTTTTTTCATTTGGCTGTATTGCAGTTAAATTATACAAAAAAACTTTCAAACCAACAGCACTTTTTTGGAGTTTAGCACTTATCGTGGATTTGAGATCTTCATAACAAAAACGAACAAAAAAATAACGAACTCAAACAAAAACAGTACTACCATTATTGCGTTACGAGCTATTCAGAAGTTTAGCCATCTGATAAAGGAATCACTAGATAACGGTTGAGTCGCTATATTAAAACGATAGTTAATGTTTATCGTGAATTCAATTGCTCCATAACAAAACTATCTGCCGTATATTTTGCATTTGCCTCTTCAAAAATCGTAAAGTATCACATCCTATGCAGCTTTTATTCACATATATCGCTTGTAAAGAGTTGCAAGTCCCACTGTTTTCCTACTTATGTAAGGAATACATTTCATACTCAATAAAACAAAATCAAGTTCACCCGTTTCATTTTGATTTAAACGCTTCTACCGCGTTGGGTCACACTAGCAAACGTATCATAACCTCACGCTTTGCTATCTACAACTGAGTAGTGCTGTTCTTATATCTATCTCGAGAAGATCTGGTGTTTAATACTTTCCCAATCCAATTTCAGAGGATGTTGTGACCCTAATCGAAGTTAATATAAACCAGCGATCGCTACCTGCGACTCTTTGTTATCATAACTTTGGCTCCCGTGAACTAAAGTTGTTACAACAGCTTTGCAGTGCGGACTCAATGAAAAAAGAGGCATAAAGCCGAATAACTTTCTCTAATTACACGTTCAAGCGTTTCTCAAAGTATGAGTTACGAGCGTAAAAAAAGGGTCGCATTTAAAATGATTCGAGGCTGTGTAAACAAACTTTTGTCTTTGAGAGTAAAGAGTGCATTAGATGCTGCGGCTCAAAGTGGGTTTGAGTTTGACTGAAACGATGCCAAATGACTTTGTCAATGCTAAAGTTCGCCAACCCACACCTATCAAGTAACAACCCTTCTTTCAATACGTGCGTACTAGATGCAAGGGTATCACAGCAATATTCGCAACGGCTATATTATAAGTTCTAATATCGTACATAACATTTTCACAAATTTCATTCCTTTCCTTAGTTTTTTACGTCTAGACAAAATCAGACTTCCTGCAACAAGCAGTTGACAACAACTCTTCCTATTTACACATCATTTTTTTTATTCAGTCGCAACTTCCCCCTCACTAATCGAAGATTCTTGTGTAATTAGAGAACATAAACACGCTATTAAAATTTTATATGTCCTGGGTTGCGACTTTAGCTTTGATAATAACTTCTTGCTAGGCAGGAAAAATGCGCTCAACCGTGTCATTGACTGATTGTGACATCGGTTGAGGTGAGATTTATGATTGGTCCAAATCACATGATGAAGTAGTGTTCCTAATGCGATTTTTAGAAATTTATGAGAAATGGAAATCAAAATTTTGCTCAAATTATCAAAAACTCCAAATTATATATTGTTTAATGTAAATACACATTCAAATTAAAATATAGAAGCATTTTGAGCGACCAACATAATTTTAAAATATTAGAATCGGGAACACTGAATTTTTTTCTGAAATCTTCAATCGCCCTAGGCTATTACTGTGGTGCGAATAAGAAACCTGTGTAACAACGTAAGAAGCAACGTAAGACAGACAAAAAAATAATAAGATCGTAACAAACTTGACCATCCATGGGAGAAGTTATGGGTTGCCTAACATGCCCAAATCAAGTTTATTTATCTCAAACAACGATGATTCATATACAAATCACGAGAAAAAGTGAGCACACAGATTTAAGGAGAAAAGAAGTCGCGGTAACTAAAGCTGGTTAACGAGCGGCACCTATCGACAAAACGAGCATGCAAGCCTAAAAAAAAGCTAGCTCCTAGTTTAGGGGAGGGAATTTTTTTTTTAAATAATGACGTAATGCGACGCTTACTCGTGCTCTTCGCTTTGAACAATCCTAGATAAAGGCGACTGTTATCTAACAATATCTTAATAGAATCTCTATGCAGACTTACTTCGCTGTCGAAGTTATCTAAGGTATACAAGCGCGCAATTTTATTTATCTCGGTTGGTGGCAAACTAGTAAAAGTCAGTCGTTTACAATGGTTCCTACCCCCTCCTGGTTACGCCTATGATGCAAGCATGGAATGACAAGAAATAGGGGAAAACGCAGTACTCCCGTAGTATGTGTACCAGGTTAGGGTTAGGCCGGAATTCCAGGTACAAATAGAGTCACTCGGCTAGTCTCGAAACTCGTAATAGAACTAAAATAAGGAAAATTGGAATACATTTATGGCCTAACCCCAACCTGGTACACATACTACGTTCCGGTGTGTCATCTTGGTGCACATACTACGGGAGCGCCAAAAACGGAGATAGTTGCTTTATAGTAGGCTCTGTATTGGAGTCGACAAATCACGAAAAAAAGTGAGCACACATATTTTTTACGAAAAGAAGTCGCGGAAAACCAAGGCTGGTTAACGAGCGGCACCTATTGAAAAAACAAGAATGGAATACCCCGTTATAAAGAACGAAAATTTTTGCTGAACAGTGTGATCTTTATATTTTATTATTCATACGTCAATATAAATATAACAATATAAATATAACACGAGAAATTTGGAAAAAATATAAACCAACAAAAAAAGAACTTTTAATTGTGTGGCAGGAGTCGCGAGGGACCTCGAAACAGGTCTTCAAGCAGCGACACCTACGACGCTGATCCAACTTAATATATAAATTTAGTAAATGTATATACTTCTAATTAATATTATTTATAAGACGGATTTATTAAACGTTCAATTACTTATTTGTTATACTTGCAATGCAATGCAAATTTATCACGGGTGTGAGGTCGGTCTATCGACAATAGATTCTCTGAAACCTCCGTTCTCAAAAACTATGTTTGTTTGTGCATAATTCAATTGTCCGAAACCAGGACGTAGCCGGGAAGTTTTAAACGGGGGTGTGTTCTGAAATTTCTAACTCAAGTTTCTTGAGCGTCTAAAAGCGCTTCAAGCTACGAAAATTGCTATGTATATTACAGAGAAATGCTTTTTTTTTACATTTCACCTCCTCTGGGTGCGCCCCTCTCCAAACGTTCTTGTAAAACAAGTTTCCTCAAGTTTACATTCTCGTAAACGTATGTTCTCGCAAAGATATATTCTCGCAAACGTCCATTCTCGCAAACAATAACTTTGCATTAGACCGCAGTCGAGAACTTTTTTAGTGAATTTGTCTAAATCTAGGTCCTGTGCACTGACTCAGAAATAAAAGAAACTCGCAGAAGCTCGAAAATGATTAACTTCACTAAGTATTTTTAATAATAGCTCAAGAAGCCTCGCATACGCTAAAGTTTTGCTCTAGCAATGTTTGGTTTTCTTTAGCCTGTAGTCGACAGCCCGATTAGAAGTAAAAGTTCGTGTTCCTTGGTAAAAAGGGGTCTCACAATTTGAACTGTCGAAGAAAGTATTATATGAAAATTAACAAATATCAACTGAATACCTTTTATAATCGTAGCAATATTTCATCACCGTGGTGTGGCGCTGAAGGTTTTGATAAATTTTGAGATTGGAACACTTCCACGACCGGACTTGTAGAGTTGTTTTCAAATGTATCAACGAAGCATCTGCAGAG